CGGCCAGGGGGGGGGCCCCCCCCCCCCCCCCCCCCCTCCTCCTCCTCTCCTGGATCCGCCACCAGTGAAAGGGAGAATGCAGAACCGGATAAAGAAGTTGTGAGGCGAGGGGCAAGTGGAACCTTGGTCCCAACCCCCCACCCCTGCCACTTTACGCAAATACTTAACGTGTTTAATTTCCTTCGAGGGGCCCCTGGAAAAGTGGGACCCAGAGCAACAGCCCACTTTGCCCCCCCTCAATCCGGCCCTGGGTGAATGGTATTGAAGTGGCCACCACTTCATTTAACCACACGAAGCGGGGTCCCAGTTGCGAGATGTCTCTGTACAGTGTCGCGTTGAATTCCTTTGATTCATTTTCGGCTGCTGGCTCTCACCTATTCCCGACGCCAAGGGCTCCTCACCTCCCCCCCCCCCCCCCCCCCCCCCCCCCCCCCCCCCCCCCCCCCCCCCCCCCCCCCCCCCCCCCCCCCCCCCCCCNCGTAGCTCGGTGTCTGGGCCCCGGTGCAGTCGCACCGCCTGCACATTCGGTAGCTACGCCACTGGTGAAGGATTCGCGGATGGGCCCCCGGTTCTCCTCACTCGAGAGCGTCCCGTTGAGGGAGGACGATGTGGTGAGCGCGGCTGGCTTCCCCGGATTCGAGCAGGCCTTCACAGTGCGGGTGCAACGCAGCTTTCCCGCATTCCTCTTCGTTGTCTGCGTCGCGTGGTTCCCTTGCTTCTGGCTTGACCAGTGTTAGTTAAGAGCTGCATGGGAACCTTTCCCGATTCAGTCTTTTTCCTGTGTCCCCGTAGGTCTCTTTTCGAGGAGCCCAGTCCGCTCCGAAGAAGTTCCGCGATCGAGATGCAGGCCCTTTGGACGCCATTATCGCCTGGCGTACGGTAAATGGGGATTTTGACAAGAAGGCCCAGCCACTGATGGTTTTCCACGTGCAAAAACTCATGCTGAAGCGGTAGCAAGTCCGAAAGTAGAGCTAAAAATATTTCTTCCCTCTTTCCCCTCCCAAAAAATTGTTGATCGATCCCTCCCTTGGCCATTTGAGATGGCGTCTATTCATTCTCGGTTAGTGACATCTGTAAGAATACGAAGTAAGAATGATTCACCCACAAGATCTATTCTTGGAAAGGAGAGATATTGAGAGTCTCTAAACGATCTCTGAAAAAAAGCAAATGCAGTAGGCATACCGAGTAAAAATGTTTCCTTTCAAAATGAAGACATTCCGCCCAAAAAAGGGACCTGATCTCGCAAACGGCAACGAACCCATGAAAAGGAATGTCCTCAAAAAGAGTTATCTCAAATATAAGTGGCGACTCATCGTTGGCATCGAATTTCGTGCTGGCAAGGAAAAAGAATCGAAAAGCATCTTCCGCTTCTCTCCAACTTGTTTCTAAAGTCTCTCGATTTAAGTGAAACTTAGTGATACTTCACACAACGAAAGGGAAGAACCAAACCTGGATGGAAGGGGTTTGTCTTCCGAATGTTTGCAAATACTTGTCAAGAGCACCCTTGTCATGTCAAGAGCACCCAATAAGATGATCCCATCAAAACCTCTAATTTGACTCAAAACTAATGTGAATTTTCGGCAGGGAGTGCAACTTTTGCTTGTTCCCTGTTGGAGGCGAAGAAGTTTCTTGCAAGTATCGTTTGTAAAATTTTTTGTCTCCCCTCACATACCGACCTGGTTTCTTTTTTTTTTTTCTTTTTTTTTTTACTGGAGGTGGGCATTGCACATGATGTAAATCTTGGTGATGGGGATCTTCGGACTAAACGAATTTTTCAACGGTCTCGGACTTTCAAACTCGGAGCACGCGACGGCGGCGACCCACTTGTCATTGGCTCTGATGAAGCCGATCTCTCGAGTGAAGATTTCCCCCCCTCTCGCATTCTTTTTTTTCAGTCGGTCTACTGTTCTTGGCCTTCCCTACGGTTATGCGCTGTACCTGGGCGTTCGGCGCCTCCAAATGGAGAAGTTGTTCCCTCGTCCTCTGCCCCTTCTCTTCAATCGAGACGGTTCGGCGGATGACGAAGTCGAGGACCACGATGGGGATCGAGAGCCGACCGCGATGAGCACAGACTGAGAACCGTCACTGTCATCGACAACGGCCGTCGTTCATCTGTCACACGAGGGGACCGCATTTCGAGTAGCAGACTCCGGAAAACTTCCTTTCTCCGTCGAAGAAGAATATCGGCCAGAATCGGTGACTCGTCCCCTGTAGGGAAGTAGTCCTCCATATTCCCATTCACAAGACCCAAGCGAACGTCCTCCATTCATGGGAAATTCGCGAACGTCCTCCATCGCGTACACGCCTCCGAGACGAGGGGGTGGGCCTCCATGCATCGCATGCTCCCCCGGACCTGGACGGATTCTCACCGTCGGAGACCGGCGAAAATTACGTGTGAGGCCGAGAGGGGTAAGACGGACTGCTACGTCGATAGGTCGTGCGAACGTCGTTGTGGCACCAGAAGTACAATCGATTCTTCGAGGGTGATGATTGTTAGTTTGGATTCGACAGCCTTCGGCTTTTCGTCTGAATGATCGGAAACCCAATATAAAAAGAAATGCAACCAACTGTCTCGAAGCACTTTCGACTGTCGTGCCTGAATGCAGGAACTGTTTCCGATTTGCTTTTAATTTTGGGCTTGACTGCTACTAGAAGTTTGGCCTTCGTTATTTTAAACGAAAAACATTAAATGCAATGGGAAGTGGCTTGGGCGATGCCCACTGAGAATGGAATTGCAGAATGGAAAGTTATATTGTTTTTAAAGAGAGAAGCGTCAGATCTCAAAGATCCTAGCATTTAAAGAAATTTACTGCTTCCATTTTATTTCCTGGAGTTTTGTATCAATACTTGCGACTTGTCGGAAGATTCCGTTAATGATTCCGAATATCACTTCATTTTAAGTGATGTTTACTTCCAAAGAAGGGCGAAATTAGAATCTCCCACGACCAGTTTCATCAATTTTTCCCTATCTACGGAGGTAGGGGTGGCGCATGAGCGCCTTTCCGTTCCCTATGAGGACATCGGTGCGAATCGAATGGGGTGAGCGGCCAAGGTGAATAAGGCATTGGAAATAATTCCCCCAGTCGGGAGATTCCGTCGGCTTCTTCTTGCAGGTCCGCGCTGCGATAATCAGCATTCCTCAATTTTGCAAGTTTTCTTCGAAAGTGCTTGGAGGAATATGCCTCCAATACCGTTTGTGTATTTCCCACCGAATTGATAACTCTTGTAGTGGATTTTGTGACCTTCTAGAGAAATAAAGGCTCTTTTCAATACGTCAATTGACTTTGTTTTTGGACAAACATTAAATAGGACATTTCTCGGCAATGAGCACCTCTTTCAATCCTATAATTATTTATAGATGAAAACTTTAATCCTGGAGTTCATCGACATGGGGAGACGTCGGTGGGTTTTTTCTTGGTATCGGAGGTCTCGTCCTAGTTCATGCTTCCACACCTTTGTGATTGCACTCGTGATTTTCGTTGCCGCAGGCGTTTTCATTATCACTTTGGTTGTGTTTGTGTCCTCCTTGGTTGTAGTCGTTTTTGTCGCCGTGGTTGTGGCCATTTTGGTTGCCGCCATGGTTGTGTTTTTGTCCTCCCTGGTGGTTGTCCTCGTTGGATTCACTGCTCTTCTCGTCGCGTCTCATCTGCTGCATCCGACCATGCTCCGATTCCTGGTGGGTCTCTCGCTTCCTCCGCCAGGTTTTCTCTGCCTCCGTCCCTCCGAGATCCCCGTCGTTGCCGTGCTGCTTCCTTGGTCCTTCGCCATTTCCGTGGTGTTCCTGGCTCCCCTCGTGATTTCTCCCCCCGCCGTTCTGTCGGTGCTTGTGTCCTCCGTTGTCGCCCTGGTCTCCTTTGCCTTCTTCGCTGCTGCTGCTCTTGTGGTTGTGGTTGTTATGATTATTGTGGTTGTAACCATTTTGGTCGCCGTGGTTGTGGCCGTTTTGGTCGCCGTGGTTGTGGCCGTTTTGGTCGCCGTGGTTGTGGCCGTTTTGTTTCCCGCCGTGGTTGTGGCCGTTTTGTTTCCCGCCGTGGTTGTGGCCGTTTTGTTTCCCGCCGTGGTTGTGGCCGTTTTGCTTCCCGCCGTGGTTGTGGCCGTTTTGCTTCCCGCCGTGGTTGTGGCCGTTTTGGTTGCCTTCTTTGGATTCACTGCTTTTGTTCTCGTCGCGTCTCATCTGCTGCATCCCATCATGGTCCGATTCCTGATCGGTATCTCGCTTTCTCCGCGAATTTTCCTCCATGTCCGTCCCTCCGAGATCCCCGTCGTTGTCGTGCTGCTTCCTTCGTCCTTGGCCATTTCCGTGGTGTTCCTGGCTCCCATGATTATTTCTCCTCCCGCCGTTCTGTCGGTGCTTGTGTCCTCCCTCGTTGCCGTCATGAACTCCCTCGCCTTTCTCGCTGCTGCCCTTGTTCTGGTTCTTGCTGTGTCTCATCTGTTGCATTTCCTCCGGTTCCGAGTCCGCGTCGGTCTCTCGCTTTATCCGCGCGGGTTCATCCTCGTCCGTGTGCGTGAAGCTCCACGGTTTCTGTCGATCTGCGCCCCTGCTACCTGCAATGTCAACTGTGACGCTGAAAATACTGCCAATTGCATGGTGAAAATTGACTCATGATTCGCGGCTATTTTTTCACAGTGTAACTTTTACCGTTTTTTCTCTTCGCCAACGGATGACTATGAGTGGGGGCTAATCAAAAGGAAACCTGTACAATATACAACACGGTTGACAGTCGCACAAACCAGGTACAACAATTCGAATCATCATCGTGTCGATAAACAAGCTGGACAAAGCCTGGTCCAGCAATCAGTCTAGATTTTTAACCCTTTCGCTGCATAAATTTTGAAGAGGTAATAGAACTGTGGATGACTGAAGATGCCTTTCGCAGCGAAAGGGTTGCACCGTCAAAGAAGGTATATGCAAAACGAAGGTGGATGTCAAAGGCAATGGGGGGTGGGTGGAGGGACTGGAAGTACTTTCTCCATGATCTATGCTGCTCCACCAGAGTCTTCTCGATAATAGTTTATTTTACTGTTAACACTTTCGTGGATGAGATTTCTTGAACAGCCATTACATGAATCGAGTTTGTGATTTTTCAAGTAATTATTTAAGTCTGAAGCTTTCAGATACCCACAAACATTGAAAGGAAGCGGTGCTTGGACGCCTGCTCAGACATGGCCTTTTTTCACTTCTTGTAAAAAAAAAAAGGCTTGATTTTTTAAATGGCAGGAATGTTCCAAGGTCAAGATGCAGCAAGCAGTAGGAAATGAAAACAACGATTCTTTGATGTTATGTTTCGACTCAGTATACGACTGCAACGTTGCGCCGATTATGAGGCAAGGAAAATATGTTTCAGACTGACCTGGTACGAGGACGACGTGGACTTCGCATCGGGCCGGAAGAGCCACCTGAGAGATGAAGACGAGGGCGAACAGAGGCAGAGTAACTAGGGAAACTGTACTGGCCATGGTCTATGGCAGTTGGACAGAGAAGGATGCCGATGGATGCTGAGAGATGCTGAGGGATGCTGGACTTGACTGTTGGGTTCCAGCCTCGGTGTCCTCCGCTTTTATAGGGAGGGGGTTTTGAAACTTCTCGGAAACTCTCGTTTCCCATCAGATTTCTGTGACAGAAGATTCCATGAACTCCATTCAGTCCTCGTCGCTTTTCTTCCTTTCATTCAAAAAAGTCATTCACAAAAGTCATTTATGCTCATACTGGACCGTGGCGGAATGAGATTGCGTTTTTATTGCGTTGAAACGCGCTCGAAAGCGACTCCTGTTTCGCGGAACACTTTGGCGTGTATTCACCTCCTTATTCCTTGGGCATAGTCAACATTGTGGATGGGAGAGTCAGGAAATGGAAGCGCTCACTCCCCTTCCCTTTTTCGATAATCGACGACGCCTACGCATCCGCAGGAGATAAAATACACGTTCATGGCCAGGTGGAGGCTTTCGTATTGCAAGAGACGACTTGTCCACCTGGAAACGACACTGAACCGAGAAAGCGTGCAGCTGGGAATATGCTGAAAAATATTTGCTGATAGTTTGCTGACCCAACTCCTACGTGATAAACGGGGAGCAAAACACCTTCCGGCATGAGGCAGCAAGAATCGTCCGGGATCGCGCTCCAATTAAGCAAGGAAAGCGAGATTTCGTGTCGTAAGAAATGTCTGCAAGGAGGAAAGCTGTCGAAAATCAATATTAACCGGAACTCATGCTTCATCATGAGATTGCTGACCAGATCTTCAGAATCTCATGTTGAAAGGATTCAGGCAACTAGTGGCTGACGAGTAATTTCACTGTTATTCACATAACTTCGGGAACGGAAAAAGTGGTCGAAAATACTCCTGGCACAATGTCGCTCAACGTATACTTACACTTTTTTTCACTTCCCTTCATAGAAGGGTTCTCATCGCATGCTGTCGAGTTGTTTGTTCTTATTATCTCCCCAAATCGAACCTCACAGACTCTAAATGGAATCGCGTCATTCACATGCCAAAAAAGCAACCCAAAAATATTGACAGTTTTGTAAACTGGTTTTCTTCTGATTATCCATACGTACTTCATTGCTTGCTAAGTCATCTTGATCAGAATTCAATGCGCTTCGACACGGCACATTTTGGATTCATGAATCTAGATGCAAACGCATCTACGACGCATTTGTTTAGGAATACACTCGTTATTCGCAGAACTCCGTTCAACGAAATGAAGGATCGCAAAAGGATGTGTAATCATTCATTTTTTTAAGGTTTTTATTTTCAACTCAAGTTAGCTTCAACCTGAAGAATATTGCAGAAGATGGCAAGAGTACATTCTACGTCGTCGTGATCTTCTACCAGGAAGTCGTCTGCTAAGAAAAACGGTTTTCTGCAATGATTTAAGTCAAGAACTTTCAAATCCAAATATTAGTGCTGTATCCTCTGAGGCACCCTTCCGCGCGAGGCGAGCTGACCGATAAAATTCATTTACTATCATCTGTTTCTCTCCTGGCGGAAAGGGGGATGAGGAGAACGGCTGGCCTGGGCGAGTCGCTCCTTCTAAGAAGGAAGAATTTCGTATACGTATGAGTAACTCGCGATTAATGAACGTTTGGGAAGGTCATACCTGCAGCCGCCTGCTTTCGTTGTCTGTAGCAGGCCATGGTCAGTCTAGAAGTCTCATTATGCTTCTTCTGATATGATTTTTCGTTCTTTTCGCGTTCCCTTGGTGCAGCGGTTCTCAAACTTTTTACGCTGCGCCTCTCCTAGCGACCCTAGTTCGGCGTCGCGCCCCCTTTCGCCCCCTTTCCCTCTGAGGGGACTACCTAGAAATTGAGATAATCCCAAAATACTTTTTTATACCATGATTTGAAACATTTTTCCTTTTGGCTTTTGGAATTCAATGCTAGCGCGGTGAGGTCACACACCCTACGAATCCAATTCATGGTTCATGGGCCTACCGGCAGCGGCGGAATTGAGGTTTGTTTCTGTTTTACGTATGACATGAAATGATGATGAATAGATGTCCCTCGAGTCGAACACCAAAGGCGTCAGTGCTTTCTAGCGGGTATGTGAACTCATCGCGAAAGCACTGTGCATGGATCCACATTTCTACTTTTTAGGGAAAGATCCGGCTGCAACAGTGAAAAACTTGCCGATGGTGGACTGAAGTACCCTCGTGTCCTAGTTAGGCCTGTGCCCTACTTCTACGAAGTGCGCTCATACGGTTAGAACGCCTGCAGCGCGTTTCGTGGCATGCTGGCAGCTTTGGCCTAGGCTAGGCCTAAGCCTGTACATGGGGATAGGCTGCCTCATGAGCCTGCGGCTGGTGTTTTTTGGGTCTTGTTGGCGATCCAGCTATTTAAGGAAAGTTGGGAAATGTGACGCAACCCCACGACTGAGGTTGCCTCACTTCACCTTCACCTATATTGTGGCCTCCGAATACTCGCTGCTTCGGGACCGAGTCGGCACGGTTCCAGGCGGAACCGACAGGATGCCATTAAGGATGCCCGTAGAGATCCGATGAGAACGGATTCCTTCTTGCCTTGATTAATTTTTCTCTGATCGCTTTTTTTCTCGAACCATTTTACTTCATATTACTTTCCTGAATTTAGCATTTTTACTTCGCTCGCAATTTCGCGTAGCTGCTTGATAATTTCCAGACGACGTAGTCGAAGAAACACGCAGAAGAACGAACAACCCTGCTCGTGCTCTCCCGCCGCTCCCCACGCGGCCATTCCCCACTCGGCCATCCCCCGGGAGGCATCTCCCACGCCTCGTCCGAGGCCGCCGCGTCTGGACCGATTTGGCGGGCCTGACCGACGAACTGGAAGGTGAGAATCGTCTCGTTGGTGACCGCAGGGAGCAGTCTCGTTCGAGGCGTTCGTTACTTTCGTACGAAATGAATTCGCTGCGGATCACCGATAGAAGTCGTTTCTGTTGCTTAGAAGACGTTACGTAATGTCCGTGACGAAAACATGCAAGAGTCGCTCCCTTGAAAACGAGGACTCTTGCAACGATCAGTCGTCGTGCAACAGAAACACCCCAGGCCTGTGAGACACGATTCCACCAGGAATCGAACCCTCGATTCGCTGCGCAGTTGCGCGCTGGCGCAGTAGCTGACACGAGCAATTCAACTGTCTCGTGTGTTGATGGTAGATGGCCTGGCGGTCGCAAACAGATGAGACGAGGGTTATCACCCTCGAGGGGCTTCAATCGGCTTCAACTGGCTTCAATCGGCTCTAACACACCCCGCACGTACTGGCTCGACGAGGTTTCATTCCCCTTCACCCGCGGATCTATCATCGATGGGAGTCGGCGCGTAACTCTTCCGAGAATGCGACGTAGTGGGTTGAGATGCAGGCGGTAGAAAACGACGAAGGAAGACCCGGGACCGAAAGACCGGGGACTGGAAAACCCACGGTGCGTGAATGTTCCCTTGCTAGCACGTTTGAGGCCGGGACATTTTATAAGCTACTGTGCTGCATGTCCAGTTATTTCAGCTACTTCTTTAAAACTTCACGAGAAAGAGCAGTTTATGAAGTAGGCCTATTGTTAAAATCAATTTTCAAGGACTTTCCCCCCCCCCCCCCTTTCCCCCCCCCCCCCTCCCTTTAGGGAGTCTTCGTAGCTTTTCAGGCAAACGGTGAGGTATTTCGTTGGTCGATATCGCTGCGGAAAACTTCCAGTAGAAGCGCCTGCTCGGTACGGTGCCGTGCATCTTCAAAATGTTAATATTAAAAAGATGGATTGAAATATTTTTCATTTGCGATGTTACCGAGAAAGAGTCTCGACACATGGGATCTCCGATCGAAATTTCCCGTATCTCATCGTTTTTGGGACTTTTCCGTCCCGCATCCTCGTGGAACGATTCCTCGAGCCTCCAGCCTTCGAGTGCGACCAGCTCGAGGAAGGCGAGGTGGATGCGGGCCGCGAGCAGGGCTCTTTCCGGAGGGAAGACTGCGTCTCGGAGACCCAGCCGCGCACGACTCTACCGTTGATTGAAACTCATTCTCGCCCTCCCTTCTCGGCTCGTGAAAGTCGCTCACGAGGGCTGTCGTCATGTTTCGTTTGGCACTGCTGGTCTTGTGGCTTTCGGGGGATTCGGCGGTGGATCTGCACGGTCGTCCGTTGCTGCTCGTGCTTTCCTTCGACGGCCTCGGGCACGATCGCCTCGAGCACGATCGCTTGAAGGCGTCGCTTCCGAATCTCTCGGAGTTGAGGAAGCGAAGCTGTTACGTGCCGCGGCTGAGGCCTCCGTTCCCCTCCGTCTCGGTCGTGTCTCATCTGTCGCTGGTCACGGGGCTCTGGCCGGAGTCGCACGGGGTGGTCGCGGATCCGGTCTGGGATCCGGAGTCGGGGAAGGCGGTGGATCCGTCCCTGCATCCCCAGGCGTTCCGCGTCGTGCCGATCTGGGCGAGCAACGAGCAGGCGGGCGGGACGAGCGGCGTCTCCGGCTGGCCACTGTGGGGACAGAGGCCCCCGACGCACGTTGGACCCGGGGACGGGGCCACGGGATGGAGGCAGCGACTGGACGAAGCCCTCTCGTGGTTCGAGATGGGAGCCAACCTCGTCGTGTTCCGCGAGTCGATGCTGATGGATATCGGGCGTCTGCACGGTCCCGATTCCGAGCAGGTCTGTCGAGGGCGTGGGGGTGAGGAGCGGGGACGGGACTTTAAATCTTCCACCTTTCCTTCTCGTCTGGTAAACGCTTTCCGGTGCTCGTGGGGTTCGTGCGACTCGGGTCTTCATTTTCCTCCGTTTGGGTGTGTGAAATTCGTTTGCGGTGTAATTTATCGGATTTCTACTTTCTGACGGTCATTGCTTCCCCATTCATACACGACGGAGACAGACGGAATTTGGCAGCTCGATCGATGAGCACAGATTGTTCAGCGTGCACATTTCGTGGATCTTTTCCCCGTCTCCATGCTCATGTCCGTCTCTCAGACGAGGGGATTCCGAGGAATCGGCTCACCATCAACGAAGACCTTTTTTTTTTAATTCCTTACCTACCTTTTCACAAATCGGTAATGTCTCGGGTCATATATTAATATTCACGTGTTTCTTACTTGTCTCACGTCTGCATGAACGCGAGAAGTTAGGCTTAGCAGGCGTCACATATGGGTCCACGAGACCGTGTCTATATTTTCAAGATTCACCATATGAGTAATTGCAACAATTTCACTTGACTAGTAAACGACAAAATCCGAACCGTCGCTCCCATAACAATTCAAGTTTTAATTTTAAAAGCCATCCAAGAAATATTATCTTCGAACGGGCACTTTCCAGGTGATGAGGGGCGTGGAAGAGCTGGACCGCCTCGTGGGCCACCTGCTGGATCGACTGCTCCGCCTGGAATGGGCGGAGAGGCTCAACGTCATCTGCGTCTCGGGTCATGGGCTGGCGGCTAATGAGCCCGATTTGGTCATTCCGTTGCAGGCGACGGGGAATGGGAGGCGCTTTCGCGTGTCCAATCGCTCTCCGGCGCTCTTTGTCCATACGGAGCCAGGTGAGGAGGGGGTGATGTGTGGAGTGTGGCGTGGGAGTTTCGTGGAAGCGGATATTGTAGGGAAAGTTGCAATGTATGATTTGGCAGATGCGTGATTTTTCTTTGCGGATTCTCTTGCACGAGCAGATTTCACCTAGGTTAAGCTGTTTTTAATTAGGTGTGTCTGTTTCATATCGTTCTTCTGACACTCGCCGGACCAGGTAGAGAGGAAGACTTGTACAGAGAGTTCCTCGAGGGATCCAAAAAATGGGGATTCCGGGTGCTGAGAAGAAATGAATTCCCGCGCCGATGGCACCTGAAGAGGAGTCCCAGGGCGGGGGATCTCATCCTCTTGGCTTCACCTCCGAATGCCTTCAGCCTCGGTTCTTCGACAGGTCGTGAGATGTGCTTTGGTTGGGGTCGTGCCGTTGCGTTAAAGAGATTGTGCGCGCCTTTTTCGGCATTTGATCGTTCCGTTCGAGTGCTGGCGTCGGTGTCGGAGAGCCACGGGAGCCAATTGACAATAAATGAGGGCAGGCTCTGTCTGCGCGTAGGGTCCCCCTTTAGTCGTTCGAAAATACCTATCGAAATACTACCATGAAAATTTGTATCTAAACACATAGAGCAAGGTACAGGCAAAGTTCATTAGTCAGAATGACTACCACCGATTCTCGCTGGATCTTGATGCGATGCACATGCGCGGTCCTTGGTACGAGCGACTGGGCAGGGTCAACGGGAGGGTGTATTTACCAGCCAGTTTCCTTCCAGCAGTGGCGTAGCCAGGTTTTCGTCAATGGGGGGGGGGGGCTAACTTCTCGTTGAAGCGGGGCGGACGCATTCCTACCAGATTTGGGGGGCTGAAGCTCCCCCCAGTCCCCCCTCGCTACGCCATTGCCTTCCCGCCTTCGTAGCTTACAGGTCCATTTCTGTTAAACGGAGAATAATGCTGTAGCGGGGACATTGTTACAAACTGAATGCATGGTCCAGCAATTCATAGCCTCCTTCCACGACCGCACATTTTAAGTGCCTTTGTCATCGTGGTCCTGGTTTTTTTTTTTTCAGGACATGTAGGCTTACTAATGGACTGACTTTCCCTGACTTCAAAGCTTAAAAATAGCACACCTAACTTTGGTATCAGGCTAGGAAAGTGGAACTTTGCAGAAGTCGTGTTGGACCCGTTGAAAGAGAGCAGCTCAGGCATCGGTAATCACAAGCTTTTCACCGAGTGAATAGGTATAAATTAGTGTCTCTAGGAGTTGTTTGATTTGAAGTTCGGGTATATCCTTGAGTTTCCATCAAAAGTTCTATGACAACTGGAACATTTTAATATCGATTCCTAAGAATGATCGATTGTTGGAAATTTCATCCAATGCAATTGGTAAGATTTTGGAAAACAACAGTACATGGAGAATTCAAAGACATCTAATTCATTTTCATTATAGAGACACGATAATACCCCTGAGATTCGACATCATCATTGCTGTCAGTACTCTGGTCTTTTTCCGAAGTGCACAGCTTCCTCAGCCCAATAGAAAGTTGGACTGCAGAACACATTTATTCAAACACGTATATGTACAATTGCTTCAATATCGTTAAAATATCGGAAAAGTGGATGGAATACCCTTCCCCGAAGGATCCATTCAGCTTCATGCTGCACAAATATACTTAATGAGTAGAGCCAGCAGGGAACAATTCAGTAGCCTTACATCACAATCAGCTTTACCATTTCCATGGTCCTATCTATACTTTGTGCTCGCAGATGAGGATGACCCATTGGACACAAAATTAAAGCGTGACCCATTTGGCTCAGATGAGGATCAACATTGGTTAACTGAAGGGAAGGGGTTGAGCGAAGGGGGTTCAGTGATTTCCACAGATGGAAGGTGAACTCGAGTAGGGCTTCCATGCCCGTGTCATTCTCAAGCTGGGGGTAAAAACCAGGGTAACCAAGGAGTCAATTCATGTGGACGTGAATTCAATGACAAGTCAGATGAGAGCAGGGTTGAGTATTCAATTCAGCTTATTCTATAACTAGAATTATATTTCAGCTTGTGACATCAATTCATATAGCAAAAGGCGACAGACTAGCTACTTACAGAATTTAAATGTTAAAATGTAATACTTTTTCTATTCAGAATAATTATTTGCAGCAGCAATAAAGCCTCTGCCTCTGATGTAGTGGGAACTACTTCGTGGAACCTATTGTGAATGAATGACATACTGTGGAATACTATTGTTTTAGAAACCTTGTGTAGTAAGAATGAATTGTATTCATCAAAAAGAATCAGAGATCTATAAAAAAAATATGTAAATATTTACAAGTGTCTTGGATAGTGTGGCTTGCGAGTATTACTGTGGATAAGCCACATGGTCACAATTTATTATTTATTAATGAAGCATGCACACCCCCCTACCGAAATACATGAATTTCAATGATGGCATCCATTGTCGGCATCTCTTAAGGAATTCTGATACCTGATATCATATTTGTGTGTGATCATCCAATCATGTTCTGTTCCCTCCATTGGTGGATAGCAATCTGGAAGGGGTCAGCAGGCTACGACAACAAGTTGGAGAAGATGCAGGGTTTCCTCTTGGCATGGGGCCCAGCCCTGAAGAAAGGCTTCAATCTGGACATGACGGTGGATGTCGTCGATGTGTATCCGCTACTCTGCCACCTCCTGGACATCCCGCCCAGGCCAAATAACGGATCCTTCATCTACCACCTCTCCTCTCTCATCCCAATTGAGGAAGTGGAAACTTTCAGCATCTACAGCATCCTCCGTCAGTCCTTTTCCGAAGTCAGCTTTCCTTTAATTCTAGTGTTGCACCTCAACCAGTGGTTCTCTATCTTCTTGACAGAGCAACTCATATTTTGTTGAGATTATGTGCTCCATATGGAAGGTTATTCACTAATATTTAAAATATGTATACTGTAAGAAACGCAAAGTATGACTAAAACTAGGTGCATTTCATTCTGAGGTCTTAGGGCCTAGGTTATGGGGTGTCAAATTGGCAGCCTGCAGGCCGGATCCGGCCCGTTAGTTCCTTTTGTCCTGCCCATGAAGCCCACTTCACAAGTTGGTTTTAAAAATGTGTGGAGATTTCACCCAGTTTGCTTAAAAAATTTACCGTAAGATTTTTTAGAGTGACCCCCAACCACCCATTAAGGGTTTCATCCAGCCCCCAGCTTAATCGTGTTTGACACCCCTGACCTAGGTGGTCCACATCAGGCCATACCTACTTCAAGAGGGACTCCTATAGGTAGGGAACTGCTGGTCTATGCCATACTTCATAGCACAACTTACTCGTGCATCTCATGTAATTTCTCTCCTCTGCAGACAAATGTCCTGCTGGTTTTGCAAGTTGGTAATGGTAATACGCTTGCCTTTATGAATGCTCTGTAAAGCACCACAGCAACACTACATAGGCTACCGATAAGAATCATTCACATTTAAAATACTCAAAAAGTGTGTCAGTCCTGATTTTCTGCTGCATTTTTCAGTGACTATTGGGGTCCTGGGTGGCACCACAGGCCTCATCATTGCCTCAGTCATTATTATCATGGTTTGCAAGAAATGCCAACATCGCAGCAAACTCAAGAGTGACTTCATTATGCAGTGAGATTCCAATGTGGCACAAAAACAAGGCATAATGTCAAAATGAATGTAAAAAAAAGCACCGTTTATTTCTTGATGAGTTGGTCATGACAAGACTCCCATGGGTTTCACTCCTCTCCTAAATCACCTGAAAAGACATTAAGGACTGTTGCATCCTCTGCAGCCACTAATGCTTCAAATGAGACATTTGAACTCAAGTTTTCATCACATTATGAAAATTGTACCCACTGACTGATTGAATGTGGCATTAGCACTGAAGCTAGGAACTGCTCTCATCCTATCAGTCATTGATGAGTATGGCAACCAAAATGGTATCTCATTGTGATGGTTGGTACCATTGCAACTAATATCCAATGGGAATCTTTCTGAGCTTATGACTGTTATGACAGAACCAAAACAATAGTGAGTGCATGAATTAAATGGGAAATGCAAGTAAAACCAATGAGCAGAGTCCGTCAAGCTGAGAAGTAGATGAAGTCATGCAAGCCAATGGCAGGGGATTTCCAAGTAGTGGTAACCCCATTTAACAGGAATCCAGTCCACCATGTTGCATTTAGTATAGGAGTGGCAATGCTCATGGACACAAGAGACTTGTCTTGTATGGATGATACAATGCAGTGTCTTGTGTCACATTCCCAGGAATGCCAAATGCTAAATGGAGAATGCATGGCAATGCATGCACAGAGAACTACATAATTTTTCTTAACAAAGTGGAAGGGTCTTACGAGCAGAGGCACCCATGTCCATGTAGTATGAAGGGGAGAACTGGGAAACACTTCTCAGCTCAGGGACTGACAATGATATCCTCGGACCAGGACCTGCAAAAAAGAATGAGTCAATGACTTCAAGTCCAATCTTGAGTTTCTTTCATTCAACCAAAATGCTTGTTACTGGGTAAGAGGGGTCAAGTGGAATGTGGATACCTTTTGAATCATTCCCAATGTTTGGACAATCCAGGCATACAAGAAGAGGTGATTCCTCTGAATCTGTGACTCATGACTTAGACTGTCAAAACCACATGGTTGAAATTCTAGGAATGTCTGATCAGTAATGATATTTGATGAGACTGATGCCATTTTACCAGACACATCGAATTACCATGAACACATCAGTGCCTGTTAAGATTTGAAATAGCTAGAAGCATAATCCTTGAGGAATATTTGTATGTGCAACTGAATCAGTGCACTGGCTTTGAACCAAGTGTCTCACTTGCCTCTGTGGGGGTCAGGATGAACATATTCTGAAGGGTTCATGCAAGCCTCAGATCCAGTTGTGCCCCTCAAAGGCAGTTTTGGAATGCTGGAATGCTGCAAAGAAAATTCATTCTTAAAAAAAAGCACTAAAAAACAAAAAAAACTTCAGATTGATTTCATACCGAATTTTGACCATCCATAAAGTACATTTCATTCTGGAAGGCCTTGGGCTTGATAGCTTTAGCCTCTTGCTGTATGGGAGGAATCACAACAATACACAAAAATCCATAACAGTTTGTTCAAGAAGAACATTGAATGTAATTGTGTTGAATACCTTCGAGGAAGGAGTCTCCAAACTGGTGCCATTACTTTGTGTGGACATCTGGGTCTTCTTGGATCCACGCTTCATGCTCCAAGGAAAGCCTGTACAGACATCAGTTTAGTTTATGTACACAAAAAAGGTTAGACTAACAAGAAGAACCTTCATTTGAATGGTTCAAAATTTAGTTCGAATGCTGCCTTGCCTTTGAAGAGGCCCTGCTTGTCCTGGAGTGTTTGGCGTGGCTTCTTTGAGTCCCCCTGCAAAACAGTAGGAAATTATTAGTGAATAAAAATTTCTCTACATTTGCCAGAGGTTAAGCAGAAGGGAGATGCACCAATTTTTGCCCAAGTTTGGCCTGGAAGACCTCAAAGACAGCCATGACTTCATCAACAGAATATTTATCCTTCTTGAACTCCTCAAGGATCTCCTTGAAAACATCTTCCTTCTTCTCCTCCTTCCCCACCTGAGCTACCACATCCCTCACTACAATGAACCAAGGTGTCAGGGTATCAAATTAGTTCTGAGGGTGGGGGGAAAGAAAATGATCAGAGAAAGAGTCTGACCTGGTAATAGTGTATCACCAAGAAGGGTGAGATAATTAGGGTGAGCAGGACCCCTGGCAGGTCTTGGAGAGGGGGGGATGGAGTAGAGTGTATCCCTTGGTATGTCATAGTCTCCACTCACATTCATGTACTGCAACTCATCCTCACCCTTCACTCCCTCTGCTGCAACCAATCACAATGTACACAAGTGACAGCATTCAAGTTCTTATGCCATACAGTATGGGTCAAAAGTATTGCAACACTGGAAAAATTCATACTATAACCCTCCAAAGAGTGTGATGAAACTAATTAATTTAATAATGTACAGTGAAAACTCGTTAACTCGAATCCTGATAAGTCGAAATTCCGCTTATCTTGAAGTTCAAAGCTTGGTCCCGGCGGAACCCCGTAGGACACCATGTTAAATGCTCCGTTTAACTCGAATTCGCTTATCTCGAATTTCCGGATATCTCGAATGAAATTTTCACTCCCGATAACGAATTTCTCACGGTTAACTCGAATTCAGGGTGAGAAGGGGGGAAAAATTTCTCTCTTGGGACTTTTTTAAAAAATACTTTTGAATAGGAGGAATGACAAGAAACACGTTCGGGAGGATGTTTTTTTTTTTTTTTTTTTCTTCTTCTCCCTCCTCCCACACAGACGCCTGTGGTGAGGATTAAAACCGAGAAGCTTCGGCTTTAAAAAGGCAGCCTCAAAAATTCTCTCTGTCTATCTATCGCTCTCACTCCGAGCCATTCTAGTCATATTCTACTTCCTTTACGCCATTTGTGTGGAGTGAGCTCACTCGAGAGGAAATCTGACGCTCGAAGAGAATGTACACTTTATTCGGACTGGCGAAGAAGGCCATCTGAAGAAGAAAGGCATCACAGGGAATTTCGGGATTCCTCCCTCTACTCTCTCTACCATTATGCGCAGAAAAGATAAGGTTTTGAGTGCACATGAGAAGCGCCTATTTACAGCAAGTTGCAGGAAAATGAAGACAGCCAAGCATGGGAACGTGGAGTTCACACAGTGCCAATCGACTTGTTCGAGGCAGTAGGGAAATTGGAGGACTTTCACTTCTCTATTGCAAGTTCTTTTACAAAGCAGATGAAGATCATTGATTACATGTCAGAAATGGATAAAATCCGAAAGAGCCCCAGATGAAAGGCGTTGCAATAAATTAATTTAACATATGGAGTTTAAAAGTTTCACTCAAGATGAATAAAAGCTAATTATAATGGGAATGTCGTGAAATCTGATTTTTTTATGGCGGAATAATCGCCCTCTGGTTATGCTCCTTAACGTGAGTTTTTTTTTTTTTTTTTTTTTTGGGGGGGGGGGGGGGGGATTCCTGATAACTCGAACTTCGGGTAACTCGAAACGATTTGCCCGGTCCCTAAAAGTTCGAGTTAACGAGTTTTCACTGTAATTTCCCTTCATATGGATAACCAACTGCATTTGCTGAGGCATACTTCTTCCTAAACTTTTGCGAATGCCTGGATTCAAGTCTACCCATGCATTTTTTAGTTTCTGGATGAGCTGCTTGCAGCTTGTGGCCTGTTTCATCTTCTTGATCTCCTCCTTGAGAATCTGCCAGCAATTTTCAATAGGATTTAGGTCTGGGGTGTTGCCTGGTTACTGACCCTTCCCCTAGAATGCTGGCAGTTTCTTCTGACACCAAGCAATGGTAGTTTTGGAGGCATGACAAGGGGTATTGTCATACATGAAGATGGACTCTGACCTTCTTTCAACCAAGTACTGCTCCAGAATCGATCCTGTGGTCATCCTGTTAAAGGCATCAAGGTAGGGCTTTTGGAGGATGTTCTCCAGATAATAAATAGTGCTCATAAACTATTTTTGTAGGATCACATACAGCTCTGAGTAAGCCTGATGAGAGAACATCCCCCACCCCATGATCCTCAGTGGGTGCCTGAACACCTAGATGCATTTCATGGGACCAGAAAGAAGTTTCCCATAGCAAGACCAAAAAAAAGACAATTGAATGACTGCTGCTATGAATTTCTACACATGTCTATATGGTCAGCCACCTTTTCAAGAGTGGCCAATCAGTCTCAACCTATCGTACCTGACTTTTCCCACATCATTTCTTAGATTGATACAAGACTTTTGGACATTCCAAGAACTGCATCAAAAAATGATCATAGGGAAGATGGCAGATCCAACCAGTTCATGCAAACATTACTATTTTATGAGAAGTGAGATAATGCATGAAGGGAAATGCTCCATGACCTGACTCCCTATTCCAAATATACAAAATTGGAGGAAGCATGAATAAGGTTCAGGATTCAAGTGATTGAATGGGACACAATACCTTTAGGCTTGCTCGACATGGTGCCATTCAAGGACTCCTTTCTCTTCCCAGGAAGCTGCATCCCTGAATTCTGCAAACTTGGCATCTGGGCCAATGCCTAAAGAGAGAAGTAAAGCAAGTCTTTGATGTCAAGGGTCTGATAGTGAAAAAATCAGCAATGTAGCTATATTGCATTGATACCAGTACAAGAAGATACTTGCTAATATTATCTGGTATTTAATTCCACACGTTCAACTTGTTTATCACCTCAGATAGAAGCCTGAAATATTTTATGAAAAAAAGAAGCAGCTTTCTAGAGGTTTGGTATTTTCATATGAAATGGAACATGTGCTTTATCCAGTACTGAATGCACTGAAATAATTTTTTAAATCATGGGGACACATGATGTACGATGGACTTCAAAGGCTTACCATATGATGCCTTGAATGACATTTTGAAGCATTCTTTCCAGGATATGCTATATATTCATTTTAGACACTTCATAGTATATTCATAGAATTGAGCTGCTAGGATTCACTAGCTGTCCTGGCTTGTTCTGCAATTTTGAAAATTAAAAAGCTTGCAGCAGATTACTGAATATTACACCAGTCACAACAATAGCAAGCTCTCCCTCATCTTTACAAAAGTACCATTTTAGTTTTTCTACTTTTGAGCTTTTTCACGCGAAACATTTCTCCTCCAGGATTTAATGAAGTTAATTTAATGATCCATCTTATAAGTGAATGCACAATAACAGACCAGAGAGTTCTTGAGGAGAGCAGCAATGTTGCGATGTCCATTGGCCTCAGCCAAGTCAGCAGGTGAGAGATTGTCACCATTTGGAATAGCTGCAGCTGTGATCGCCCCAGGCTGCTCTAGCATTGCTGACACCAGTGCCATCAGACCATGCTCACAGGCAAAATGAAGCACTGTTGGATACCTGTCTTCACCTACATAAAAAGGAGAATGCAGAACTTGTCAGATGATACTCATGGCATTATGAATTAAGCAGTCCAAGCGAACCAGTGACACCTGAATTTGAAGTAAGGAAATGAAAATGCCACTACCCGACTGTGACATAGGAATGCTTCTTCCCATCTATTTATGGAATTTAGCACTGTAACCAAAATGACTCAATGACATCTAGGAAACATGAGTCAGTTTTACTTCAAAGCATTCACTATCAATACCATGAGTGATATCAACACTTCAAGAAAGGAAATTCCTAGTTCTGCCATCTTCCAAAATGAATTCCATGTAAAAAGAGTATAAAAAAAAACATAAGTCTGAATACTGAAACAACTAACACTTCCTTGTGGATGGCAAAGTTTGAGGGAAGGAAGACCAGCCATGAGATGGACCTGCCTTATGGAATCTTCTAGCCAGGACGGTGTCCAACTTCTCCATGCATGCAGGAGATATCCCCAAAGTCTACACCATATCCCAGAAGTAAGATTTTCATTCAACACTGAAGAATGCATACACAGCCAGTAACAAGAACATCAACATTACCATGTTACCTTTCCTGTAACATGCAACAAAATCAGTTACTTTTTGGCAAAATGCAATGATTAATAGAGTTATATTGTTCCTTTGTTAGATCCTATACATTTTTTCCTATTTAAAAAACACTCAAACATCCTTCCTTTTTACTCATCCAAGCAGGCCAAATATATTAGAGGAAGACTCAATTATCTACCCCAAAGCTGACTGGGAAAGTATATGTCCCACCATCAGAGTACAATATTGTTGAGAAAGTAGACCAACCAAAAGCGAAAAATAAACTGGAATAAAAAAAAGTATAAAATCATTTCTATAAGATGTACTTGGTGATTGCATGCAGCCACTTTATACAGGTTACATCATGACTATATGACTATAAGTAGTTACTATCAAGAGTGACTTTCCCCTTGCTGCACAAGACAACAAGGAAGAAAAAGGCTCACCTGACACATGAACTGTAGGGGTTTTATTGCTGTGTGAAGGATGTCATCCAGCTCTCCCATGAGGCTCTGACATTTGAGAGACTTCTTCCCAAGTGATCTTGCCTTCTCCCTGTCTCGCACCTCCACTTGCAGCAAGCAGGATGACCCCATGAAGCTGCCTGCAAAGCAACCATCTAAGTTACCCATTCAAACAAGTTGAAGTCACCATCAATGCCATCACAGAAATATTCCCAATTCAGAGAAACCCACCATGACGACAGCTGTCTTTAAGATGTATGATTAACAGCTCCACATCTGATGAGAAATTTGGCTAAATGCTTTAGTAAGAACCCTTTGCATGGGCTGCTTACCAAAGGGAAGCAATCAATGGAGGTGCCAAATCACCATGACAAATAAATTTTTCTTCCTAAGGATGAACTCAGCTAATTAATGAGGAATTTCTACTCATCATAGATAAGTGGGTTGGAATTGTGAGAAAATATCATTTACATTTGGCATTCAGCCTATTCAGCCAACTGGCTGAATACCAAGCTGACTTCAACAGAACATTAAAATCATTCTGAAATGATTATACTTAAAACAACTTTTAAAGACTACTTCAAATGAAAAGATAATTCTACATATGTGGGTCACTCTGAACGTTTTTAAACTTTCCTCCAAGAAATGATGGGAAAATTGTTCAAGTCCTCTCAACGATTCAAAGGATTTCTTCCATGTTGCTTGTGTAAGTTTCAAAATGTTTCATTAACAATGCGTCCTGATGCCAGGATGCAGATTTTTTTTCAATGAATACCCTCTGGAAATTATAGAAATGATTTTATACTTTTTTTTATTCCAGTTTATTTTTCGCTTTTGGTTGGTCTACTTTCTCAACAATATTGTACTCTGATGGTGGGAGCAGATAGGAAGAACTCAAGAGAGCAATTCTCCCCAGACAGACCTGAAACACCATCACCTTCACGTCATCATTTTCTACAATTGAAAGAAAATCTACTCTACAACTGATGCCAGTCTGAATTAGATATTCAGTTAAAGTTAGAAGGATATTCAGTTAAAAGCCACTTCATTTGCAATGGTGTTTCAATGGTATTCCCTCTTTCAGAATGGGGAAAATGATTGAAGACTAAAACCTCTATCTGGGTGCCCTCTGACAGCAAAAACTCAATTGGAATTGTTACTGTCACTGTTTATATTGAAAGTTTCTCTTAAGAGAACCCCATGGAGTATCCTCATGGGCAGGGTGTTCAATGTCAATGTTTGGTTGAGCCACTGCTGTCAGAGGGCAACAAAATCCGGGCTTGTGTCAAAATCACATTCCTGAAAAAGTCCTGGATGTTTCATCTAGGCAATCATCACATGAGGAGGCTCCTAAACAGGTCTAAGAAATAATGGCATGAAGGCGATGAATGAGTTCATTCCCTTCTTCCACTCATAGTACTTCCAAGCCACAAAAGATCAACAGAAATGGACACAACTTACACAAGCAACTTGAAAGAAGTATAACATATGAGTAGGCTTCAATTCATTCAGCTTCCTTTTTATATGAAAATTCTAAAATATTTCCAAGTGACCAATTGACAACAAAAACAACAAAAATTACATGAAATTGCAATGTATTTATACATGGTCACAAGGAGGTAGATCCATAACTGACTGCTAAATTCTTCAGATAAATATGTAGAATTTAGATAGATGAATGATTTTGAAATCTCATTCAGCCCAACTTCTCAGACCAAGAAGGGTCAACTGTGGAGCAAGTTAAGTGCCACTTATTTCTGGAATAATGAAGCAAGAAAAGTGTACATGAATCTCATATTATAGGCTCAAGAGTCATACAACATTCATCTATTTATCTAATAAGTTCTCACCTACAATTTTCTTATGAAAAATGCAACCCAATATGCATTATTCTGCAAAAATTTTAATCAGTGCTTATCTAAATGCAATAGACCAAATTTTTGCAAATTTTCTACCATTCCAACAATATGCTGTGAGACAGTTTGGATATGCAGATGGTTACTTTCACCCATCTTCAACAAAATGCAAAGGCACCACCATAACATTAAAGACACAATTTTTCACTTGGAGTATGCTACAAATGCCAATCCCAAAAATCTGATTGCATTTTAAATTTTAAAAAACCACTAAGTCATGAGGATCTTGTGATGGCCACAATTTTTCTTCATTCAATGTACCACCCTGAACTTTATGAGAGATGATATATTTGCCTGTCTTTGCACACTGACCACAGTTATACTACACAGTCAGTGTTTTCAACATCGTACTAATCCACTATGACTATATGCCACAAGAAAACATTCATAAGCCCTAATTTTGCATTCTATGGATCCTAATCATACCAATATCAATGACAATGGATCAAATATAGGATGCTGACATCATGTAAGAAATAATTCTGGATCAACAAGTGCAGGAACCATACCAGTGAGGCCATGGGGGCAGCTGCATCATTCAAAAGACAAAGTTCAAAAGGGGTGCATTAGAAATGGTGGTACCCTGAAATAAATATTTTTAAAAATGACAGAGAATGAATATGATCTCCCTCACCTGGGATAACAAATGAAAGCGTATATGGATTTTTCAGCACCACACCACTCATTGTGGTCTCGGTTCCATCTGGAGAATGAATCAAAACTTCAGGGACAGCTTCTGGCTTTGAAACAGGGTCTGACAGTACCACCATCACCTTCCTCTGGCTCTGAAAGTCATACAGACCCATCAAGCACTTTTGAAAGCTGCAGTTTCACCCGATGCCAACTAGTTCATACTGAGGTAACTTTGGTTGGATGCAACTTGAAAGAAGCACTAGGATTTTGGGCTTGCAGCTGAGCCAGGTTTCGCTCCAAGATTTCATAAGCACGATGAAAGAACCCTGTCACAAACTCCATATCTTCACTGAGGGCTTCTGTTTTCTCCCATTCATCATATGTGATCAGAACTGCCATTATGAGATCATAATTCACATTAAATGAGTAAACAATTTGGGATGCATAAGTCAGCATTGAACTTTGAAAATAGAGGCTATGAAAACATGCTCTCTTCAAATTTCTGCCAATGAAAATTCTGCACTATTCGAGAAACTTAACCCCCAAAAAATACCCTGGAAGGCAAAAGTGGAACTGAAAACCCAACAAGGGCATGTGAGTAATAACTGAATCCTTGCTGCTTGCTCAAGATCAATAAAGATGAAGGGTTCAGACCAGACTTATGCTGTGTGGTGAGTTTTTGAGGAGTGATGCCTGAATGCATAGCCAGCACTTTTCTTGGGCATAGCATTGTGCCAATGAGGACTTCTGGATGGCCAACAATCCAATCCAGGAACGATGGAGATATCAGAACCAGCTGCAAAACCGATCGTTCCTTCACCTGCTTCACCACCACGGGAGAAAGTGGCAAGATAAGATTTTCTACAGCTGCCTTTTCCACCCTACAAGAGACAATGCAAAAGATTGGCAGTTAGACTAGCCTAGACTAGTTCTGGCCAATTTATTTTACCGAAGTAGGCCAAGGGCTGAAAAGAAAAACATGACATAAAAACTAACTTAAGAGGTTTCTGCAAGCTCCAATTGGGAAGCTGGGAACACCACTGAGGAAATGTGATACTGAGGTATTCTGCCCATGCCTCTGAATCACGACTGAATAGGATGATCACCTTCCCATCCCCTGAAGCAAGGAAGAAAAAGAAAAAGGATCTTTCCAATAAGCCCTTGAGTGAGCCTAACATCGAGCCTATACAGAGACATCCAAGTTGTGATTGCCATCGCTTTCTCACCTTTTTTGGAGACCTTGATGGCCGCGGTCTGAGACGACAACATGATGAAACGGGGAGAGGATGTAAATCACAAGGCCTAGGCCGATAGCCGTGGTTTATATCACGCAGAGGTGACGTGGGCCCTATTTTAAGCAGAGGCAGAGGCGCCCAGACCCAGAGCATCTGAGGGACAATGGAAGACACAAGCACACGTGGTGTCACGTTTCATCACCTATGCCATCTCCCGCTTGCGTTCCATATCGTCTGCTAGGCTCGCGTGAAGCCTGTCGTCTGCTACGCCTTCCCCCTATCTATATATCCTGTTTCATTTGGCTTTTTCCAAGGTGCGCTTGAGGCGAAACTACACGGTGGTGTACTGATACAGATACCTGGAGCTATAACACGCGATGATCGTTGTCGCAATGAGCAATGCGGCTGCGATTCGCGAAATCAACCGCGTATATTTGGGCGCAAGGCCACGGCAAGAATCCAAGAACGAGAGGCGACCTCATGACGACGAGACCCTGGCCCACCGAATGGAGAAACCGCACGACTTCGCAGTCGGCTCGTGGCTGCATCGAGCGATTAGAGTCGCGACCGTGCCACCTGCCGACGGTATACGAAATGCTAAAGGAAAAGCATCCGAGCGGATTCTCGAGGAGCGACCAGCGACCGCATTGTTTCCTGCCGACTGACGGTGATGCGCAGCAGATCGCGTTCGGCGACGAGAGGAACCGAGGAGCTTGGAAAGATCGAGGAACTCGTAGAGAGAAAGCAGGATAACCTAGCATTGGAGGACCTCAAAGTGGCCTTGACGCGTTTTGCTTCAGATCGCCTTGGACGATAAATACTCGATCATGTCAGAATGTTGACCCCGACTCGTCCCTTTTCCGTGTCTCCTTTCTCAAGTCCACGGCGAATGTCGAGCAGGCATGCCTTTTTACTTTTTCGTGTTTTGACCGTGGCACTTGCATCATGCCTTTTGGGCGATGCCACGTTTTCGTTGCGACCGGCTCGAACGATGCGGGTGCAATGCCTCGCGAAGGTAGTGGCACCGCGAGATCGAAATCATTCTCTCCGTGAAAGGGCAACGAGCTAAATTTAGCCGAGAAGCTCCGATTCTGTGCGATTTCTCCGGAGGATGTTTGGATTCTTTCGCCCCCACTCGGCACGTGGGGTCGAAATCCCCCCCCCCCCCATCAAACAGCAGAGAATACCCTCTTCTGAGGGTAGCAAGAAACACGCCGCTCGACTGCGACCGTTGGGCCCCTGTGTATCGCGGTTGGGCCCTGTGCCACACGGGCACGGAGTTAGCCGAGGCCTCTGAGCCCCAAATCTTGTCTAAAAAAGATGTTTCACGCCATTTCATGCCATTTTCGAGATGCTTGAGGAAGAAGGAACGTCGTCTGACCGTCCCGAGAGAGGTGAATTGATGAAAGTCGCATCTGGAGGTGTATCAGACTAAAATGAAAGCGTACAGCTATAACATCTATACCATCGGATAGGGTAGAATCTAGACTACAAATCTTGTCAGAAAGCGATTTTTCATCAGCCGTATTGTGGTCAAGATGTAGGGAGGAGGACGACGTCTCGTGGAAATGGTGTACGATAGAGGCATTATCCTATGGGTACGCTTATCTTCCTGAAATATGGTCAAACATAAAAAAATTCTACCACTGGTTAGGGCAGACTACAAAATCTTCTTTGAAGGCGATTTTTCGAAATCCGAGCCGTTTTCGAGATAAAGGAGGGAGAAGCGAGGCAGCCCTCCATCGTCCATGATTGAGTACGGGAGCGCATGCATTGTTTCCCGAACTCAACAGCTCCCCGTCCACAGCCAATCAGGAAGCGCTAGCGTCGTCTGCTCCTGCGCGGAACTCGGGCTCCTTATTGTCACTGGCACACGCAATGCAGTTGCATGCGACAGCGGGAAGGTCGGTCTCGACCTGTATTGCGCATGTGTCACGTCCGATAGCAAGTTCAAGCACGTCTTCTGGCACCTTTGTCTCAAGTAGGGAGCTGCCCGGTCGTCCTAATTCGCATTGACAATTTGTATCTAGGCAGGTGTATCTTGGCAGATGGAAAAGCCACGAGGATACATTCTAACACAGTCATGATACTCGCTCGACGAGCTAGATGCAATTTCGTGCGGGGGAAATTGTGAGACTTGCAAGGGGTGAATGCCTCGAGACGGACACTTCTATCTTCGTAACAGGTGCGTCTCTACCCTCCCTCGAGGGTTCCATTCACTATAGCTTTGTTTCGACTACAACCTTTCCTGGGAAATGGCTTTCCTGGGATTCAGGTCGTTAATTATCGAGATGTCATGCTTCCCAGGATAGCCTGGCTCAACTGTCACGACACTAATCCCAGAGTAGACAGGTTATTTGGGGTGGTGAATCTCGCTGGTCCGACTGAGTGACATTTCTTGGGAGTCCATTCATACATGGAGATGTATTTAATGACCGGAAGTCCTGGTTACACCTTAGTGCACTCTCAGTTGAGAAGACCAGCAAGATGGTGGAAGATTAATTCTGTAGAAAGCCATAACCCCCATATGCCTAGCAAAATCTCCATGAGCTATAGAATGGCTGGTTTCCTCCCTGTCCTTCTTCTTCATGTCCTTCATTTTCTTTAGGTATTTCTTTAGCGACTCGAGTTTCTTTTGAATTTCAGTAGGAGTCTTTTTAATCCCACTTTTCTCAAGTTCTTTGGCAAGGAGAACATACGCTTTCCTATTCCGTTGCGTGCCATCAAGCATGCTTTGAATATTAAGATCGCGAAATAGAAGCAGTAGAGTTTGCACATCTTCCTCACTCTAAACAATACGAACACTCACGGTGAAAAGGAAAAAAAAGAGGACGCCAGCAGAAGGAAGAGTTCGACACGCCTATCAAATGATGCTCATCCCACTAATGCGTTTCGACTGAGATCTGAACCCGGGACAGTCCCAGAGCGACCCTAGGATTGACCGGTTTGCCCGGCAGCGTTTCTCACAGCGGGAGGGGGGTGAAAGTAGGTGTTTCGACTAAGAAGACTAAGTTAAGACTAAGAAGCTGACTATCCCAGGATAACGTCTCAGTCGAAACAAGGCTTATTTCCGCCTTGCTTTCACTCCGATTCGCTACACGTTTCTAACTTGAAACGTTTTCTCGTTCAGCCTTTTATTTGCTAACTGCCACTTGAAGAAGCGCGACTCATCAGGCATTAAGACTGACCAAAACATGCCTCTTCTTGTTCATTACGAAGACCATGTACTGGCCTCCCCACATTTTTCGTCCACGAACCGCTATTAATATAACCTGTGCAGCAGCATTTTTCATCATCATCAATTTTTCCTTACTTCCTATATATTCTGCTCACCTATTCACTGCTTCTGTTACGACCTACGAGTGTTGTTCAACGTTAGCATGCAGTGTCGACACGACTTCGATCCATGTTTGATACATTGAAAGGCCGATCCCCCTCGACAGAGGAAGCTGAGAATCAACTTGAAATCATTCTCGAAGTGGAACATACACTTCCCGCGAGACAAAACGGCTGCTGCCACTTACTAATGGACACTGCCACGAAGAACGGCCGCCATCGTCGCATGGCAAGCATCCAGTAGAAAGCGTCTCCAGAAACCCCAATGGAAAAAAAACAACCACGATCTTCTCAGAAACTTTATTTTTGCCATCGATGAAGTAACCGACGCGAACTCAGCGCAGCTGAACTCGGGATTAAACGTCTCAGACGACTTGGAACTGCGGGCATTCTCCCTCGAAAGAAGTGATGGCCTTGAAGATGTCTTTCTGCTCCCCGAAGTGTCGAATCTTGTAGGTGCCAGGTGTGGCATCGGCGGGGACGTGCCACGTGATGTGGGCCACGCTTTCGCCCAAAAAGAAATTCGTATTCTCCCACTCGTACCTGCAGAAAGGAAACACAACATTGGCATGCAACAATCTACGATTCAAACTATAATAACGATGTGAGGCAATGCTTATAAAAATGAAATAATGAAGACGATGGACCTGGAATCGCCTTGGACGACACGCTCGCGTTCACAAAAGATTTATGTTGCGCTCTTACGGCATTTCCAGCAATGGTAAAGCAGTTGCTCCTCTCAATGTTAAGGTATCATCGCGTCATGAATAAATTTTTACTGTCTGAAATGATGTAATCTCGCCAGGGGTACGAACACCCCCAATGAGAAAGCTCCACTCGAATCAGCAGATCCGGAGGTGTTGACTCCACTGAGAGCGGCGGGTTCGTGCTTTGGAACTCCTTCAGAAAAGGTCATGTAGTTGGTCAAGTTTCCTAAGCTTCGTACATATGACTCGAGTCGCAGAACTACTATTTTTTAAGATGTTCCCACGAAAAGCGGTGGGTTCGTTAGTGGGTTCGGCCGATCCTGAACGAGCACCCGACCTCGACTTGGGATTATAATATGGACAGTGCTGTCTTTTTACGTCCCAACAGTTAATTGATACCTTTTGAACTGGATTATTGGGGGAAGGAAGAAGTCAGTAAAATTAGGGGCTCATGTAAATACTTGGGGCTTTAGGATTGGAGAGTTATTGATACAATACGATCCTCGCAATGCATGGGAACCGGTACGCTGTGCCATATGACCCTCGGGCATTTCCCATGCATGCAAGGCAAAGGGAGGAAAAAGGAGGAGGGTCCTCGGGATTTTCAGCGGTTTCTTACTTGGTTTCCCAGTTGGCATCGACTGCGATTCGCTCCCATTCGCCGGTGTCGAGAAGACGTTCCACGGCAAGGAAAGTGTCTCCGTGTCTCACGTTGTTTCGCGGATGTCCCGTGATCTGAGGTCACAAAAAAATGTCATGCAAGGTATGTCAAGCGAAGAATTCAGGTTGGTCCAAAAAAGCAGAAAAACCAGACTGACAGTATGCAAAATACCCAAGGAGCAATGCAGTGAATTATTTATAATAAAAAAAGAGAAGCTCATGTACGCGTTGGTGAAGTATTTTTTACCGAGACTGAAAAGCACCGCAGAGGTACAACAGCTCCTCTGATTGTTTCGTGAGTATGGAATTCGTTTTCTGACTACTTCAGGTTCTTCACCTGTTTCATACGAGTACGATGCCACTAATTTTTGCCTTCGCCAGAAAACTGTAACTCTGCCTACCCGGATACCCAGTTGCCCGGAAAATATTACCCTTAAGGAAGATAAGCAATGCCTTACGAGTTGATTTGTCATGCACTCAAACTGCAAGCCGCGCCTCTTCTCATCGCCGAAAACAAGTCACAATTCAATGACTTCTTGGACGAATGAGCCGCTGATAATAGCTACTGCTAGGAAGTTCCCAGTCGTTCCATTGATATTTAATTAATAATTTCATTACTTCATTCGCCACATTATGAGATACTCAAATGACAACGGTTCGACGAGAATGAGGTACTTCTCGGGCATTTCTCGTCTCTTGCCAAACTCGATTTTGTCGACGGTTGACTACACCCCGTTGGCCTGTTCATACGATATCGATAGAGAAACGTACAAAGTCGACACGGATGACGTCTCCACGGTTGACGGTGGCAGGAGGCGGCACGGTGCAATCTCCGAAATCGGTTCCACCCGGGGCAGTATCGAAGAGCACGGGTGGAATGAAGGTCAGCATTTCGTCAAGCAAGTCTGGAGGCGTGGGCCCGGGAGGCACTGTGGCGCCCTGGCAATGTCAAATGGGACAAAAGACGTGATGAGAGTCTCTCAATTCTCTTCTTCAGTTGCATACTTTTTCTCGCGATGAATTGCCTAAGCTGGATATGCGCATTTGTGCTTGAAAGGTGAATTTTTCATGATAAAGGTATCTTTTAAATTTATTGCAAACGGCTCTCAAGGTAAATATGAGACATCTTGGTCAAAATTTAACGATATCCATGACACCAATGAGACGCTTTTTCCTGTTCGTCCGGGGTCTGGGAGCGATGAAAGGAATCCCATTCCATATAAAACGTAGCTCCCTTGTTCACCTATACAGTATTTAACCGCTTTTCCCCCTATACTTTACCAGAAGTGTCTTTCGATAGGTTGAGAATGGGAGAAAATAAAACTGTTATTTACCTCAGTTTCATTGTCCCAATTTTACCTCAGGTGAACATTTTTTGTGAGAGATTCGGCACAGCAACGTTGTCAACATTGAGCAAAGGTAAATTTTTCAACGTAAAAATGTTCCCTCAATGTTTTGCAAAAGGTTGGCTCGATGTTAAAGTAATGTTGAAATGAAACACAGTTCAACATTGAAAATGAAGTTGTGCCAGCGTGGAATTTTCAACGTTTAGGCATTACAGTACCTCCTCCATTTCCAGAATATGATAGAGCGCAAATATCGAAAAGATGACGGGAATACACGTATATAAGATTGAGCTCTGTTAAGTGCTCACTTAATAGTAAGTAGTAGTAGGGATAGTACTCTGTTAAGTACTGTCATCCTACGGAAGATCCCTCTGGAGGGCCAAGGAAGGATCTCCAGGATGCTAGTACTCTATCCAGTACCAACAATCCAGAGGAGTCCCACTGGGGTGTTAATTACCTTCACTGGGTCAGAATTCGAGTTGAATACTTAGCTGACGCGACTCTTTCTGTCCAGCAGGGAAAGTACATGCACAACATCATCATCGGATTTGAGAGTGGAGTCAGACATACCCAATGACTAATTTCACACTTTATCCCTCTAAAAAAGGATGCATGGCATGGCTTCCATGAGAGCGCTATGTATAATACAAACTTGGGAAATGACAGCATGTCTTCTCGGATCCTCTAGTCAAAAGTACTTGGAATCTCCTCCTGCCAGGTTATCTCCTTAAAAGGGTCTCTCGAGGAATTTCAAAGCCTTCTCTTAAGTTGTACTTGGGGAAAGATGGGGTACTGCGTGAAAAATACAAGGGGACTCATTCCAATGGCACCAGGGTGAGAATCGCTGAATCGGCGCTTAGGTACCATCTCGTGACGATTGGTAAAACCTATTTGAAATTGGATGTCTCAACCGGGTCTCAACATTTTAACCTTTTATCAGTTGACAACGTTTTTGGGAATCACCAACTTTGCTCTCTCGTCATATGAAGAAAACCCCTTCGGGTAAAAATGAATAGTTCGTGTTCGCACTCTTCCAAGTTGCTGAGGACGCGATGGATTTCTGATCACAGCATGGATTACTCCCCCACCCCGTGGGTCATGCTGTGGGGTTGGCCAGTGACGTGGCTGGGGACGAGACTAAGGTCTCTTCGGCCGTCTCCAATCATCCCCCACGGATAATATATTTCCTCTCGTCTGAGGTTAGCGAGTGAGGATGAAATTTCAAATATTTTGAATCTCGTGCCCAGAACACATGGAGGAAATTATTTCTCACCGAAAGCACGGACTCCAGGAGGTACACGTATTGATTCAGGTACGCCTGAAGCGTATGGGGGCCGTAAATCGTTGAACCTGCTTCGTACCTCTGGACCTGCAACAGCATATGAGGCCATTCACTTGCAAGTGAATAGAATTTGTAATTGAATATACTTAAATTCTCAATTTAAGTCCAAATGAGACCCCGCTGAATTGAGTCGATGTTTCACAAAGACCTCTTAGAAATTAAAAAAAAGTTCAATGTAAAGTTCGATCCATGGCATATCGCCCAGCATCCAGACCGAGCGATGACTGCAGATAACTTGGAAATGCGAGTAACAAGGTCACTGGCCTGATACTCCTCGTAAGTCGTGATGTAATCCGAGTAGGTATTGGATAGCCCTGCGATGACGACGGTCGGATTCTCGGCCCCGTGCGATTCGAGGACTTGAGTCATGTCGTTCCGGAGCCTCCTCCCGGACATGGTGGTGAATTCTCCCGGGACGGCCGCAATCGCCAAGTCTCCGATCAGACCGATCTGCGTGTCCACGATCTCGGGCTGCCAGAGGTATGGCCATCCGATCTGAAAGAGCGCAGACACCCATTGAAATTTTAACGCCTTCATGGACCTCGTTACTTAGCTTAGCTTCCTTTTTTTTAATTAGAAAAAGTCAGATGCGATTAGCATTCTGATACATTATGTCTACGGGTAGGTGTCTTGATAGGCCGCCCCGTTGCTTTCAGTACACAGACCAGCAAAAGAACTATTATCGCCAAGTTTTGCGAATCACCCTTTCTGAAGATAAGAGAATTCTTGCTGCTTGAATGCGGCTTAAAACCTCGCTTCGGGCTATGGATGTGGCTCCACGATGGAAACGGGGGAGAAGAGGGGCTCCCATTTTCCTTCTCAAAAATGATGGCAACAGGGTACACCGCATTATTGGGGGGCAGGAAGGTACTAAAAGCAAACTCAGAACGCACTAGCAGGTTTGCACCTGCTCTGCAAAGGGAATATTATGTAGTTACCCATTCTTGGAACTATTTGTCCTGGCTCGTGACGATAGATGCCAGAATGGATCCCGTGACGAAAGTACGAGTTCTTCCACATGACATCCGATCCCATAAACTGCTCAAACGCATTGTTTTCTCAATTTTGTACCTCACAATATAAAGAGTGTCCAAGAAATGAGCGCCCTTAGAGAGTTTAGTATTCGGGTCGTTCTGAACTAAGCCTGAATTACCTGACCCATGTGCGCGGGACCTACAAGACAATGCCTCTCTAGGCCATAGGCTAGGCGGAAGGACCTACGGGCAGTCGATGCTGGGTCACCCACTAACGAAAATGCATCGACTTCTTTGCGTTCCATATAACCAGGAATACCCTATTAACGAAGTCCTGCATAAGTACTCAGTATGACTTCCGCCAGCCTCCAGGAACTTCGGATGAACGCCATGAAAGTCTTTACGAGTCAACGGATATTGATAGTGTTCCTCCTGTTGCTTCCTCATTTCCTTGAGAACCCTGGTCACGAACGAGGTCCGATTTATAGGGTGGGGCCCAAGCAGAAGACTCCTGGAACCTGAGCCACGGGTGTTCCGGGTGTCTTGGTCTGACAGTTCCTCGGTCGACTTTTTCTGGACCCGAACCTCAGTCTCTTCCATGGCTTGGAACGCGAAGCCAGCCATGTGGCACAGGGCTCCGTTCTGCACCAGCACAGCCTTTTCTTCACCTTGCAGTTCGCCCGGATATTCATGTTGCTCGTGTAGATAGGCAGTAAAATGTTTTACAGTAGCTGGCTTAGCATTTAACATCATTTTGTTTGAGTATGGCGGAAACGTTCGAAAAACCTATGTATGCGCGGGAAATTTTAAACCACTTCTCATGCGAAGAACCTCCGTACATTCCCCGGTTTCAAAATATACGGCAAATTATGTTCTATAGTTTGTTAGTCTAGCGAGAAATGCCACAAAAAACCAATGTAGGTGCAGTTCATTTCTTATCTTGATGAGCCGTTCATGTTAGTAATGACATAAATATCATCCAACTCTCACCACGAGACCATATTCTACTTGGAAATGGAATGTTGCCCTGCGACCGATAAGAAGCCTGCCGCACACACGGCAAGAACGTATGGCACACACTTCATCGCGGGAGAATCGATGAGAAATTGATGAGGGATTGAGAATGATTTCGACCTTCGCAACAGTTGGACTCTATACGTTGATGGATTTCCGTTTACATCCTCGAAAACGAGATAAATGAATTAAAAGAATTGGTTAGCTCACCTCGCCGGTATCGAGGAGGATGGGCTTCGGTGCATGACATGCAACCTGCTCTGGGGTCGGATCTTGAATCAAATCGGTCACGAAATTCCAAAATGGATTGGAGTCCGTTTCTCCTTGAGTGAAGTCGAACATTCCGGGTCCATCCGTCGTGCCAGCCGCGAAGCTGTATCCCATCGCGGGCTTGCACGTCCTCCCCTGAGGGGAGCGGAGACAGAGTCTACATCCGCATCCACATCCACTGTGCGTTGTACCCTTTCGCTTTGGTGATCTGGACTCTTACCTCGCGCATATGACCGAAAATATCCCGGCGCTCCACGACGACGTTTGTCATATCCACGAATTGATGCACGTACTTCACCATTCCCGTCAGAAGTCGTAGATTTGCTGTGTCTTCGAAAAGTTCCTGAGGTGTTGTACACGAAATTGAACACGATGATAGTGTTGCTTCGATTTTTTTTATATGTTTCTCTTTCGATCGCAAGCGTAAAAAGAAAATCTTTCAAATCGTAGACAACATGAAGGTGGAGGTAAGCGAATAGTATCTACTAGCTTTTAAGGACTATGCAAAGACTGCACACTATTCTCACTGAGTACCTTGGATCTGAGTATTGCTCCTGCAGCTGCCGTTAGTAGCAAGTTATTACAAGATGTTGTGTCCCAGCTGATTTTTAAAATTAATTTCTATCGTCCTAAACATTAAAGAACGTACCAAAAGAAATTTGCGAGAGGAGAGCAAAGAAGCATTCCAGACATTATTATACATAGTTCATGTAAAGGTCGTTTGGACGATAGAAAATCGCAGTCCATTAGGAAACGAATTTCCATACGTTCCATCGGGAGAGGATTTTGAAATCCACGATGTCGATTACTTGCATTTTTGCTATAACATGCTAATTCGCTTTCATCGGATGTTTCTTCACCCGAAAGCGAGAGTCCACCATAATCCACGCCGAGAGAAGAATCCTACCAAGGCTTTATTGGCCTGGCGCTCCCCGATGATCCAGGTGGACTCTTCCATGTTGTCACCGGGCCCAAACGCGATGCAGTTGCCGACGGTCCCTCCGCAAGCGGAAGTGACGGGATCGCACGGTTCCCCGGTGTCGATGCACCTTGGACCCTTGATGTTGGGGCTCACGTCTCCTAAGTTGGATGCTGCGAAACCGGCCACAAATGATCCCTGAATCGAGAAAGGTAAAGTAAATCAATGTAATAATGTCCATATTCACTCAAATGGCAGAATGTCTTGGACCCATAGTAACAGTTGATGTATCGGGTAATCAAATTCTAAAAGTATGCCTGGTCCACTCCGGACAATCTGCATAGACGTTGGTAGTGCCATCAGGTTTGAATGAGTTTTTGAACTCCTTTGCTCGACAGCGCATTCTTACCTTGCCAGGCAGTGCACCTGGATTGAAGGCAGCCTCCACGATCATGGATGCAACTCCTTTGTTGTCACCCGAAAGGAGCTTGTTGGTGTTGTTCATGGAAGTAGCATGGACGGGGAACCAGGTGAACATGGCCAACGGATCGCCTGCGAGCGACTGGAACTTCAGCAGTTGCAGTATCTTGTCCACGTCGTATTCGTACCTGGTAAGTCGCGAGAGTGTTCAAGAGAACCTTTTTTCTCACCCTGGTTCTGAGTTTGTTTTTTCCTATCCTCGAACCTCAAGAAGAAGAAAGGTAGGATAGAGTGGCATTGCTTGTTGTATTCTACTTTGTTTTGGCCAAGAGAAGCAACTTCATTTTCATCTCCATGGCTCATTGATCTTCCTACTTTTAAGCCAGACTTGCACTTCACATATGCTATGCATTTTTGCAGTTATTATATCTGCACAGAAATATGCCATACTATCGTACTACGCCTTCCTTTACACGTTGAGGTTCTGTAGAGAAAGTGCATAAAGACTCGGGAGGAAACCCATCTACTAGCTGGAGACCGTAGAGCGAAAGGTTCTTTCATCTAATAATAGGTTTTATATTTTTCTCTATTAGCATGTGGAAAGACGAGGATTGAAAAACTTGAATGCTGAAAATGGAAGTCGAAGTACATAGTCTGCCTTGATTTGCTTCAATGACGGCGTTCCGGAAACGACTTCGTAAATTTTCGGACTGACCATTTTTCTGTCCTGCAAAAATTCACTGAATATTCGCTCATTCGTTTCCTCACTCACTGAGCGCGTTCCTCTGGAGGATTATTGAGGTACGAAATTGGGCTTCGATTGACGTTGGCCTCCAGCAGTTCTCCTTCGTTGTAGTAGACGTGACCGGGCTGCAGGTTTCCGTGAGCGGCCCTTATGCTCTGAAAGTGGGAAGTAAGGGGCACTGTGTAGCGGATTGTCTTTGTGCGTTAAGTGAGACTATATTCTTGCCGGTCGAGATCTTTTAATGCAGGTGGGTTTTTTCTGAGTCATACCGTAGACACACTCGAGTTTAATTCTTTTGCGCTGAATGGAGATTTATCGTTCGCAGTCCCTCCAGGACCTTCGCCATGATGGTACTCTGCTTTCTTAGGGAGTTGGTTTATATTAAGGCAATCACGCCGCTGTTTAGCGGAGACTGGCATAGTTATGTTCGATGCAGCAATGGAATAGATGGGAGTCATTCAAATGACCGGAGATTGGTTCAAACTCATTCCTATCAATTTCCAAGGAAAATGGGCAAAACAATTTTTTTGTTCCTCAAGAAAGGACGTGCGACGGACACATACAACAATGGACGTATTACGATAGAGAGAAAGAAGACGCATACTTGGTACAAGCTCCACGATCAAGATCACGGTCCCTAAGGCAGAGACACCCTTTATGAATCTGGAAGACGCCATAGGGGCGACTCACACCGACAGGTGGGTCACCCGTCGGCGAAGGAAGCAACCGTCGCCACCAGGACTTGAAATCTATAAGCCTACTTGGTTTCCCTCGGAACCCGGTTGGAACGAGTAAAACTTGCCTCGAGGCAAATGGGACCCTTGGCCTTCCTATACAGTGCTTTGGGTTCATTGCGCAGAATGTCTGCAGAAGTGAAAAGGGACTGCCAATCGCAAACATTTGAAACTTCAAGAATGATGCGGGAGGAATGAAGAGAATGGATATGTTTCCTCTGTGAAGTCCGTTACGTTTGGCTTCAAATGCTGATGCTAGTTTCTCTCAGGCACGATTAGGTTGTTTGTGACGGACGGGGCAGGCTGACATTCTTGTGTGCATTAATATCAACACTACTCGGTTTTTACTGATGTCATTTCCGAGAGTGTTTGAATTAGAAAGTTGGGGTTTCGAGAAGAAGAGTAGGGAGTGAAGTGGTGGGAGTCTCAGTTTCCGATGTTTTCTTCTCTAACCAAAACGAAGTCGTTGGTGACGTTATCATATTCTCCCATGAGATGCAAATTGGATCTGCAACGATACGACCAGGAATTGCATTCTGGCTTATATACAGGGTAGACGGTGCCTCGTCTACCTTGCGAAGGGTTGGAGAAGCCTATTAGTCACAGGAAGTTACGACGGCTCTATAAACTTGGAGTCTGTGGCTCCCACCATTTGCAAAACTGAAAATGTCCGGATCAAAACGTTTCCTTTTTCAAGAACGGAAATATGAGAAAATACAGAGTGTGTTTTTGGCCACGCTGATACTTCCTCCCATAGTTTGTGGACACCCTGTGCGCACACCGGGCAACTAGTAATAGGTCCTCGTACGGGAAGATGTCGATAGAATGCTTGAAAACGGCCAGATTAACCAATTATGCTGGATTTAAGCCTCACTGGCCAACAACTGGAGACCAGCCAGAAACCGGGGTGCTTACCCTATTCTCTTCGAGTATTCGAAGGAGTCGGTAAAACACAGTTTTTACATTTGACTTCAAAGTGAAAATCAAATCCCACTTATTTATAGCAATCTTATTTTTGTTACTCTTCGCTTACAGATAGCGGCAAGAGCTGGAATGAGGCAGGAAATAATTTTTCGAAAAAATCGTAGGCAATGAAGAGTTGATGATGATAATGATTACATGTCAGCAGACGACGACGAAAGAGAGCGAGACACAGAGGATGAGACGCGTTGCCATCGAAAGAGTGTGACAGAAATGCAAGCCGAAGTTAATTTTGGACGTAAAAATTCGTGCTTTTCTTTTAAGCAAACACTATGAGAATTGCTCTGATATTAATGTGTGAGACAATTGAAACAGTAAAGCTAAATGAATACAGGTTGGTAATTAGAAAAGAAAGGAAGAGCGCATTAGACACCCCTTACCCGCTGCTCTACAACTATACATGATGTACTTTCGCTGCATGAGGATTCAAAGTATACTTAAGTTACCCAACCTATGGCCTAGACTGGCATAGCCTCTTAGGCTTAACGCACGTGGCCATAGGCATTTCAGTGAATTCCTCTTTAACAACCCTTTGATAACCAATGTTATCCGTCTTCACTTTCGCTTTCATCAGTCGGAGCAGCTGGCTATTCATCTGAAGATTCCTAATTCCTATTCATCTGAAGATTCCCCAACCAAGGTTATCACGATATAAGATGGCACCTCAGTTGTTAATCCAGTGAGTCGCCCGTAAAGAAACTAAGCCACGCCTCTGAGATTTCTTGCATGAGTATCTTACTTCAAACAGCAAAGAAGAATACTTTAGAATCCCATGCTATTATCTAAAGATGAAAGACAGCCCCAGGAGACGTCAGGCAATACTGGCTCTGAAGAAGGAAGGAATTCAGCCACTGATACGTGGAGATGTCGCACAGATTATCCGAAATAGACCTTTTGTTCGAGCATGTCCTATTCAAAGCTACATAGTCCAACTTTGAAATTCCTATTGTTAGAGGTACATAGATCCCATTGCCATGGATTTGGCTTTAGTTGGTATTGGCAAGGGCCTGCAGAAGAGGTGCCCCGTTGCAGATTCCACTTCCTACCAATATAATTTTTCTTGGAGTAGTTCTTGGAGGGCCGTTTTTCATGACCATAACTGGATTAAATACTTTCTCCATGTGATTTTGTGCCTCTATAAGAACTGTTGTGAACTGGAGGTGGGATCGCGGCATCTGTTTCCTCGTCAGGGCTGCTTTCTTTGCTTTCAACTCTAAAAACACATCCTGAGACGCTAGGTTTAGCTCTTCCTGCATTGATTGAGTGATTTTGTGTGTTGTGTCTGTTGACAAAGTTTTAGCATGATTACATTGCTTAAATGCCTTGACAGCATCACCGTATGATGTGTGTTTTTTTATTACAGGTTTTATTTCCAGAATCTTTACCTGTTCTTCGTGCTTAGGGCAACCCTTGCAAGTAGTTGTAGATCTTCCCACCACAGAAGAAGCATTTTTCTCTTCATCACAAGTATGCCCAAATTCGTTGCCAGGATGATATCCACAGGTTTGACATTACTTTCCCAGAACAACTGAGTGCCATATGACCACGTGCTTGACTACGGAAACATCTAATAGGATTAGGCACGTATGGTTTAACCAGGGTGGGAATGAAGGATTACCTTGAATACATCTCCCACGAGATTGCACAGCTCTTATATTGCCTGGGGGCCATACCGAGGTCTGTTGCTCATCGAAGAAATTGATAATATCTTGAAAAGAGGGAGAGATACTTGCACCCGAGGGTTTCCATGTAACCACTATAGGTGCTGGACACCAAGTTGAGCATTCTCACCCTATGGTCATTGTGATCATGTTTACCCCTAGGATGGCTGTCCGGTGACGAACCATGCACATCCTTAGGGTGCGGGATTTCACCTTCATTATTTATCGTTTGGAATAGATCTACTGAAATGTGCGCTCATAAGAGGTACAGATACATCTGTATCCAACGAGAGCTCGATAGTGAAAGAGCAGCACGAAAAGCTAACCAGATGTGACTGATAAAAAAATTTGAACCTTGGGCTGCTCAGCACTGTCGAACGAGAGCAAGTCTTCTTGCGTACCCTTCACACTCCAGCTATATTCATCCTTACATCTCTCCGTCCCGATCTGTCTTAACAGAGTGTTCGGCTGCGTTGTACAAAACGAAATATGCTTATGCATATTTTTGGATGTGATCGGTACAAGAGTTTTATATGAGAGGCCTGATATCGAAAGGACTCGCTTTCCAGTCGAATGTTTGACCGTGACGGTTATCCAACTCTTAAGATGAGAGTTGGATCATCATCTTGTTATTCTTGTAACACTTACACATTCATTATTTATATACCTAGTCCTGCTATAAATACTGTTACAAGGTTTTTTTGCAGTAACTTTGTTAATATAAAACATGTATTCATTATTGTATTCTGTATTCGCTGTATTCGTTAACAGCATTTATTTCCCTACATAATTACTAACAGATTACAGAAACATTATTCAAAAATTCCACCCCTGGACTTCACACACGACTTTAAACGATCAGTCAACTCATCGTTCGCAGAATCAACCGAGACATGCTTCTAGTCGAGATGACCATTTCCCAGGACATCACTTTCTGTTTGCTGAGAGGATTTTGCCGAAGCCTGTTGCTATTCTGCTTTCATGACTCGTGGTGTTCTGGCAGTGCATTGACGTCCAGATCTAGGGCGGTCTCGTACTCCCTGAGTATCAGTGTAACGTTTGATAGCTCGGGAAACAAACTGCCGACTGATTCCAAGTGGCTGCAAAGTCTTGAAAATGGTTCAAGGTTTCTGTTCCACTTTGTGCAGGGCACTCACTGCTGTGCGATTCTCTTTTGTCACCCCACTCCATGTTTACTGCACGCAACAAAACAGCCAAAATGCTACCAAACAATACGGTGGATAATACACTGCAGAATTAGTAGGTTACAATATTCTAGCTTATTTTGCTAGAACGCAAGGAACATGTAAATCTTGTAACAGTATTTATGGCAGAACTAGGTACATTTATGAACACTTTGCATACCTCTCACGGAGGTCTCCGTTTTTGAGTCCTTTCGCGAGTCCTAGCCTATGGCCGAAAAAGTCATAACCTAAAGCTCGATTCCTACAAGGCTGAGGTAATTGAGGCTTAGGTCGGAGCTGCGGATCGACGGGGTTAAATGTCTGGTACGCAATGCGTTAAGTAGTTTTTGATCCCCTTGACCCTTGTGAGAAATGATCCCGTCCTTTGAAGGGTAACTGCAGATGAAACACAATACGGTGTGTTCCTTCAGAAGGGATTCCGAACAACAACGAAGCAGAGATGAATGTTTTATTTGGGAACTGCACTACGGCTACGTCTACAGTTAGCCGTCAGTTCATCATGGCTCAAAGAGACCCAAAACAGGTAGAGCCAGGAGCGACTGCCGATTCTTTGTGTCTGTCAAAGTCTTGCGTTTCTAAGCAGTGGCGAAACGCTGCCATTTTCACAAGTCTACATTATGCGTCCTTATCCCCGACGATCGAAAACTCACATTGACGATGCCATCCACATTAGCGTTGTAAGTTTCTTCCGAGAACCCCAGGTTCGTGATCTGGAAGAGGAGGTACTGAAGAAAACCGGCCGTTCCCGAGTGCGTGTGGGTCCCGGAAAGGATCACATTTTCCTGGTGATATATTCCGCCGAATTCTTCCTGGAGTCTCCTCACCACCTGCAATAACCCACCACATCAACTTTTACCGTTTGTTGCTAGTCACGGTATGGGGTCTCGAACGAAAAGTAGTCTGAGGGAACGACGAAAAATTAGCTCGGGTCTAGAAATCCGAAACCTCTGGTACAGAACGAGGAAAGAATCGCTTGGGATGTTCGGAAGTGAAAGGAGAAGACTTCGTTTCGTTAGAATGTCTTGAGGGAGGGGGTTAGGGGTTGGGAAAGGAAAAAACTGGACGACATTTTGTAATAGTAATCCTTTTCTCGGCCGAAAGGCGCTCAATCTCATGAAATACTCTTCCATTCTAAATTTAGGACAATAAATATTTTCCATCGAACGGCTTCTTCGTAGAAAAAAATGAGTTCGATAACTTAACATGAAACAAGTACTGTGATTATGTCTTAACACTTTGAATATGGAGGAAGGGGAGGGAGGGTTACTGTAGAGTCCACTAATGCGGGCAGGCGTAGTCAAGGTAATAAGAAGGCATAGTGAAAATCGATAGGCGTAATATGGCTGCAAAATGCATTGAAAATGACTAAAAATGATTAAATGGAGTCATTCCCAGGAGATGAGTGGCGCGATGAAAGGGAAGAAAGCAGGAGACCTCCCCTTCCCCGAAAATCCACGACTTCCCTACCACCACATCGCTCAATTCCTGTACGTTTGCATATTTTAATTTAGCCGAAATCAGACTTTCTCGGAAGGAATTTGAGCAAATTCAGCTGGTGTTTTTGCTTACATGTTCCATCACGTGTGTGTTCCTAGCAACCATACATATTTTTATAGCTGTCGTCTTGGAACGGATGTGTGATAACTCGGATAAAGGGAAACATGAGGTTCCCCATTCTATTTCAGGACAGTGTTACGCTGAATATGGGACAACGATTCCACGCACCCCCAGAAGAGTAATTTGAACTTAAAACTAATTATCATCATCATACTTCATCGACCTGCTGAGTCTGCTGCATTAGATTCACAGTTCGTCCAACGGGTATAAATACCTTTTTTTTTACTTCTGAACCTGTACGACTCCTTCCTATGCACCCAATCCAGATATAATAAGTTGAACTTAAGGAGATAAGATATGAATTGTTCTCACCCCCGTCTTCACGGCTGTGTCCATCATGCCCATGTCAGCGATCACGAAGACAAGGCACTCTCCAGGATCGTCGCAGATGATGAATGTCCTGGCAAACTGCCTCATGTGGATTCCAGCTCCTGTCTGACTCGGGTTGGCGTACCCCATCTGCTCTATTCCAAAGCGTCCACGGGTGACACTCCAATATTTTCATTATTCCCTGATGTCTTTGATATTTCTTTGCAGAAATTTGTATTATTATAGGAAGGTGTTACTATCCAGTGCCATTGTTCTATGTTATATTGATGAAAGAAACTATTTAGTTTCTTTCAAAAGAAGTTTCCAAGAAGAGATTTCAAGTACAATTCTGAGACTTGCGAAAATTTATTTCATACTACCGCTGATGCTTGTTGAATTGTGACTCGAGGGAGGCTAAGGAAAAATGCATCTGAGATTGGAACAAAATATAGAAATGGTTTTCAAGAAAAAAAGGTAGAGAGCGAATCTGACCAAGCCGATTCCGGCAGCAGGCCCGGTGCAGTCAGCGATGCCGACGCCGATCCGGAAGAGTCCGTCTTCGTCGCATCTCGCCGGGGTGGAAACGAGGAGGAATGTTCCAACCACGAATTTCAAACATTCCATCGTTGCTCCCTGGAGTGTCCGTACAGTAAAGCGACTGAGTCAAAACGGAGCAGCTCTTGCTATTTTCAGTCGGGACCCCATGTGATGATTTTCTCAAGGATCTTGCGCCACGTTCACGTGAGTGGAACGATGCATGTGGCCAATAGGAGAAGCGCAGATAGCAAAAAACATGAATAAAAAAATGTTGGCATTGATGGCGAACTGATCCGGCTCGCATTTCCTTGCATCGTAAATTCAACAGCGAAAATCCATTCCTATCTTAGAAGGTTGAATTGCTTCTAAGGAATGGGATGCCACTGGGGAGTCGCTCTCTTATGTTTTCGCAAATCAAAGTGTCTTTTCCCCTTGCTTTTAGATATGTTGTTCGGTCCAGCATAGGTCAGAAGATCGCTTTTTTTCACGTTACTTATTTTAAACACTTCATTCATTTCAAACATTTTTTTTTCGGATTTCGAAACATAAGCATGAAACTTTGTAAAGCCCTAATTATTTTTTAATCATGTGTGACTGCAGTCATTATTGGGATTAAAATAGCTCATATGCTTATGCAACTTTATGCAATTCTTATGCAACTCTAAGCTGTATGAAACTATGACTTGGAACACACATGATACTATAAAATATCAAATATCAAATAATCACTGAGGATAACCCAAATGGAGTTCCAGTCTATGCCTCACTCTGAAACGACAGGACAATAGGGTCATTTTTTAAATTTTTTAAATGAGAGTTTGAAGGCGAAGATGTTAAGAAAACCTGCTTCCAAAGATTTGTGGAGAAATGACGACAGCAGGATCATACCTACCCCCCCAACCCCTCTCCCCGAGTACGTGGGGGCCTTTCAAGGAGACACCCTTTTACGAAAGTAATTTATAACATTTTAGAGTGAGATGCGTTCACATGTCTGACAAAAAATGTGTACCATGGGTGGAAATGGAACTGTGCTAGCATAGGTTAACCTATATTAGAACATACGAAGGCGAAGCATGCTAATAAGGGCGTCAACTTAGGTTAACCTATTTTAATGGAGGCACCAACTTAAGTTGACCAAGGTTGTACCATTTTAACCTATGTTCACCTATAGGTTAACATATGGTATATTTTTGTGAGGGGTTCCGTTGTCAACGCTTCATTTCTTGGCATTAAAAAATAATGAATTGATTTCTGGTTAATTCCTGGTGAAAACCTATAGAGATTTTACGGGTTTTCCTGTGTACTCCAATTTCCATCGTCACGGTATTCAGAAACCATTCTGGACCTTTGTTCGGTTGGTGAGTGATCCTTTCATATCGGTGCCGTAGTCTCTTGGTCAGATTTTATTATACCTTTTCACATAGGATGAAATGAGACAGGGACAGTGATCTGCGTTCGGCATTCATTTCACCTTTTGAAACACTGAGGGAGTCTGTCCCCAGGCGTCCTCATCGAAAGGTATGAGGAACTCTCGATAAACCATTCGTGGGCGTAAGTGACCTCATGAACCGAAGCCTGAGACTCTCTTGAACGAGATGAAATTAGCCTAGACCTCAGATGAAGACCCTTACGCCTTGGCTCATTCAATTCCGATGTCTACACTGTCTTGAGCTAAATGAGCAAACTCAACTCGTTTGACTTAGAATCTTCATTGAGGATTTTGAGGATACTAATTATTCTCTACGGTAAGGCATGAATCATAAGAAATGCTTTTAAAAGTGAGGTTTAGTATAATTATTACTACGTGAAGCTGTGAATAAATTTCTCACGGAGCGTTCGGAAGTGAAAATTCAGATTTAGAGAACTCATTTCATTCATTCAAGAGATGTTCTTTGGGGATTTTTTCTGAATTTACTTGTATTCAATACTTTGGCTTTCTGAGGTCGTTGAAGTTCTCTTCTAGACCCATATGCTGCTGATTGGTATGATGTTGAGCTTAGAATTCTTGGTTCTCCATAATTGTTACTTCAACAAGACATCCGAGGGAAACAAACCCCAGTTTTAGGGGGCCAATTCCATGTGGATAGCATCTTGGGAAACCTTGATGAAAACTTCAAATTCATTTCCTGCGATTGCATTTCTAAACACCATTGTAACCGTAGCTAAAGTGTTAAGCGAGTCGCGTCGTCTTGAGCCCTAATTTGCAGAGTCTGCTGAACCTTGACGCCCGTAAGAGGAAGCTTTCTTCACTACCGGAACTTCTACAGAAAGACGAGGGGTTTCACAGCTTAGAACATCCACGGTCCACACCGTAGCCGCCCCTGCACGGTGCACTACACCCGGTGCGAAAGTGGGTTTTTCTTTAAGCATAAGAGGGTGAGCATGGACATCTTTCCAAATAAGGAAACAATGGCAGACGATGTGCTTCAGGGGAAAACATAATCACGATGTGAGGTTACGCTAAAATAAATGAGAGGTAAACCATGGGTTTTGGGATCACTTTGGATGACGCACCTGCTCTCTTACCTACTCTTTGGCAATTGACGTTTTTGCCACAAGAATAACACGATGCTTGAGTTCAGCAGTTGTTATGTTTTCACCATTCCCAACTTACGAAATTGCTAACGAAACAAGTTTTACTTGCAGTATGATGAGTATTTCATGTGCCAAGAAACCCCAAGCGAGAGTCTCTGAGGCTGGTGAACCTATTGCCGATATCATCTCATGACATCAAGGGATATATATTATTGAATAAGCAAAAGTCGATGGTATTATAACATAGCGGCCCATGTGGAACCAATGACCCCTAAAAGACAGCTGTGTTGACGTGAAAGCCTTTGATACGACAACCCAGAGAAGCGCGGGGACTCGAATGCTAGCGGCTTTTCTAGTCTCTGGGAGTCCCTGGAGGAAAGGTTAACGAGTGGAGATATCATGCGGATATGGAAGCGCGAACCATATCCTGAGGTTTTACAGTGGGATGGTAGAAGTAGGAGGGAGCATGAGAATGCATGGAACGAGTGCGCTGAAAATGAAGCCCTCTCTCGTTTTGTTCCCGATAAAGAGAAGAAAAAATGACCGCAGCTATGGTCACTGCAGAGTTGCCCTTTCCAGATGAGTATGCCTAAATTGTCAAATCATAATAAGGGTGTAAGTTGTCGGTAGCTTTTGAGACACTCACGTGAAATAATTTTTTCACTTGAAGAAAGTCACGTGATAGGGAAGTGGCAGATCATTTTATCAAATGTTCAAAATGAACTCCTTTCATGATTAAGCAATGACTTCTTGAGTAGCATATTGCAATATTGACATTTGCAAATGTTCGTGAAGGGTTTTCACGTTAGACTGCGAAAGTCTTGGATAGTTTGCAGTCTAGTCTGAAATGCTGTACTAAAATGTTCTGATATTGAAATAAATAAAACGGGGACAGATCAAGGGGCCATTTCTATAGGCTGTACTACTGAAACTGGAAACAAATTAAGAGAGCAATATAAAATATAAAAATAAGGAACAATATGAAAAATAGGAAGCTAACGAATTTTATGGTATATGTTGATTTTGTTGGTGGTTGAATGAGAATTTGAAGGGTTTATCTACCTTTCTTATAATACACGTATATTGTTTCAATATATGAGCCCAATCGTAGCGTACAATAGACTTTCTCGTTGGAATTGCCGTTCTCCATGCGACGTATTTGAATGCTAGTTATCTCCGTGTGACATACCGACAAGACGAAAATAGGAAAGAGATGATTTGTGAATGTGGACGCTGTCACGCCAATCGCTTACTTGGTTTCCCAGTTGGCATCGACTGCGATTCGCTCCCATTCGCCGGTGTCGAGAAGACGTTCCACGGCGAGGAAAGTGTCTCCGTGTCTCACGTTGTTTCGCGGATGTCCCGTGATCTGAGGTCGCAAAAAAATGTTATGCAAGGTATGTCAAGCGAAGAATTCAGGTTGGTCCAAAATAGCAGAAAATCCAGACAGACAGTATGCAAAATACCTAAAGAGCGATGCAATGAATCATATAAAAAAGCTCATGGACGCGTTGGTGAAATATTTTTATCGAGACTGAAAAGCATCGCAGAGGTACGACAGCTCCTCTGATTGTTTCGTGAACATGGAATTCATTTTCTGACTACTTCAGGTTCTTCACCTTTTTCATACGAGGACGATGCCACTAATTTTTGCCTTCGCCGGAAAACTGTGACTCTGGCTACCCGAAAAATATTTCCCTTGAGGAAGATAGGCGGATGGCTTATGAGTTATTTTGTCCCGCACTCAAACTGCAAGCCGCGCCGCTTCTCATCGCCGAAAACAAGTCACAATTCAATGACCTCATGTAGGAATGAGCCGCTAATAGCTGCTGCCAAGATGGCTCCTCAGTTGTTCCATTGATATTTAATTATTTATTTCATTACTTCATTCGCCACATTATGAGATACTCAAGTGACAACGGTTCGACGAGAATGAGATACTTCTCGGGCATTTCTCGTCTCTCGCCAAACTCGATTTTGCGGACGGTTAACTACATACACCCTGTAGGCCTGTTCATACGATGTCGATAGAGAAACATACGAAGTCGACGCGGATGACGTCTCCACGGTTGACGGTGGCAGGAGGCGGCACGGTGCAATCTCCGAAATCGGTTCCACCCGGGGCAGTATCGAAGAGCACGGGTGGGATGATCAGCATTTTGTCGAGCAAGTCTGGAGGCGTGGGCCCGGGAGGCACTGTGGCGCCCTGGCAATGTCAAATGGGACATAAGATGTGATGAGAATCTCTTAATTCTCTTGTAATGAAGTTCCTGGCTGGTTATGAGCATTTGTATTGGAAGGCGAATCTCTTCATGATAAAGGTATCTATTATATTTATTTTATAAGGTTCTCAAGGTAAATATGAAATATTTTAGTCAAAATTTAACACGATATCCATGACCCCAATGAAACAATTTTTCCTGTCCACCCAGGGTCTGGGATTGATGAAAGGAATCCCATCCCATACAAAACGTAGTTCCCCCCCCCCCCCATGTTCATCTATACAGTATTTACCCATTTTTCCCCCTAATCTTTACCTGAAGGACCTTCTGACAGGTTGAGAACGGGGAAAAAACGAAGTTTACCTCGGTTTCACTGTACAAATTTGACCTCAGGTGAACATTTTTTGTGAGAGATTCGGCACAGCAACGTTGTCAATATTCAGCAAAGGTACATTTTCCAACGTAACAATGTTCCCTCAGTGTTGTGCAAAAAGTCGCCTCGATATTGAAGCATTGTGCTAGCGTTGTGCGTACGTTGTGCTAGCGTGGAATTCTCATTACAGTACCTCCTTAATATCCTGAATCTGAAAGAGAGCTAATATCGATTAGATGACGAAATTACACGTATATAAGATCGATGATAGTACTCTGTTAAGTACTATTATCCTACGGAAGGATCTCAAGGATACTACTACTCTATCCAATACCAGCATTCCGGAGGAGTCCCACTGGGGTGTTAATTACATTCACTGGGTCAGAATTCGAGTGGAATACTTAGGTGACGCAACTCTTTCTGTCCAGCAGAGAAAGTACATGCCTAACATCATCATCGGACTTAAGAATAGAATCAGACACATCGCCGGAGGCTAAATTTCATGCTTTATCCCCCCCAAAAAGGGATACATGAGCCTGATTCCATGGGAGCGCTATGTATAGACTTGGGAAATTACAGCATGTCTTCTCGGATCCTCTGGTCAAAAGTACTTGGAATCTCCTTCTGCCAGGTTACCTCCTTAAACGGGTCTCTCGAGGAATTTCAAGGTCTTCTCGTAAGTTGTACGTGGGGAAAGATCGGGTACTGTGTGAAAAATACAGGGTATTCTTTCAAATGGCACCAGGGTGAGAATCGCTGAATCGGCGCTTAGGTACCATCTCGTGCCGATTGGTAAAACCTATTTGAATTTGGATGTATCAAGCGAGTCTCAACATTTCATCCTTTTATCAAGGTTGACACAACATTGTTGTGCCGAATGGGAATCACCAATTTTGCTCTCTCGTCGTCTGAAGAAAACCCCTTCAGGTAAAAATTAATCGTTCGTGTTCACACTCTCCCAAGTTGATGAGGACGGGATGGATTCCTGATCACGGTATGGATCACTCCCCCACCCCGTGGGTCATGCTGTGGGGTTGGCCAGTGACGTGACTGGGGACGAGACTAAGGTCTCTTCGGCTCCCTCCCCTCATCGCCCATGGATAATTCATTTCCCCTCGTCTGAGGTTAGCGAGTGAGGATGAAATTTCAATCTGAATCTCGTCCCCAGAACCCACGAAGGAAAGAATTTCTCACCGAGAGCACAGACTCCAGAATGTACACGTATTGATTCAGGTACGCCTGAAGCGTATGGGGGCCGTAAATCGTAGAACCTGCTTCGTACCTCTGGACCTGCAACAGCATATGAGGCCGTTAACTTGTCAGTGAATAGAACTTGTAAATGAATATACGTGAATTCTCAATATAAGTCCACATGAGACAACGCTGAAATGAGTCGATGTTACTCCGACAAAGACCTCTTAAAAATAAAAAAGGTCCGTTAAAGTTCGATCTATGACATCTCGCCCAGCATCCAGACCGAGCGATGGCTGCAGATAACTTGGAAATGAGAGCAACAACGTCACTGGCCTGATACTCCTCGTAGGTCGTGATGTAATCTGAGTAAGTGTTGGATAGCCCTGCGATGACGACGGTCGGATTCTCGGCCCCGTGCGATTCGAGGACTTGAGTCATGTCGTTCCGGAGCCTCCTCCCGGACATGGTGGTGAATTCTCCCGGGACGGCCGCAATCGCCAAGTCTCCGATCAGACCGATCTGCGTGTCCACGATCTCGGGCTGCCAGAGGTATGGCCATCCGATCTGAAAGAGCGCAGACACCCATTGAAATTTTAACGCCTTCATGGACCTCGTTACTTAGCTTAGCTTCCTTTTTTTTGACTAAAAAAGTCAGACGCGATCAGCATTCTGATACATTATGTCTACAGGAAGGTGTTTTGATAGGCTTTCAGTAAACAGACCAGCAGAAGAAATATTATTGTCAAGTTTTGCGTATCGCCCTTTCTGAAGGTAAAGAGAATTCCTGCTGCTTGAATGCGGCTTAAAGCGTCGCTTCGGGCTATGAATGGGGCTCCAAGATGGAAACAGAGGAGAAGGGGGGCTCCTATTTTCCTCCTCAAAAGTGACAACAGGGTACACCACAGTATTTTAAGAGGGGCTACAAGATGAGGTAAAAGACGAGAAAAAGCACTAGCGGCAGCCAAACGGATAAACAGAGGGGGAGGGGGGGGGAAGATAGTAGGAGCAAACTCAACGCGCCAGCAGGTTTGCACATGCTGGCGCGTTGCACCATACAAATGGAATATTACGTAGTTACCCATTCTTGGGAATTATTTGTCCCGGCTCGTGACGATGGATGTCAGAATGAGTCCCGTGACGAAAGTACGAGTCATTCCGCCCTGTCATTCCGACATCCGGTCCCGTCAACTGCTCAAGCGCTTGGTTTTCTCAATTTTGTGCCTCACATTATAAAGGGTAACCCAGATACGAGCGACCACAAAGCTTTTAGTATTCGGGTTGTTCTGAACTAAGTATCTGCTACCTTAGCCTAATGCGCGGGGCCTACAAGACTATGCCTCTCTAGGCCATGAGCTGTGCGGAAAGACCTTTGGGGAGTCAGGATCGCCCACCAACGAAAATGCATTGACTTCTTTTCGTTCCACATAGCCAGGAATACCCAAGAAACGAAGTCCTGCATAGGTACTCAGTATGACTTCCTCCAGCCTCCAGGAACATCGGATGTACGTCATGAAAGTCTTTACGAAAGATGACATTCTTCGTGCTGGTTTCTCATTCCCTTGAGAATCCTGGTCACGACCGAGGTCCGATATGCAGGTTGAGGCCCACGTAGTACTCTAATGGAACATGAGCCACAGGTGTTCGGGGTGTCTAGGTCTGACAGTTCCTCCGTAGACTTTTTCTGGACCCGAACCTCAGTCTCTTCCATGGCTTGGAACGCGAAGCCAGCCGTGTGGCACAAGGCTCCGTCCTGCACCAGCACAGCCTTTACTTCGCCTTGGCAGTTATTCAGTTATAAGGCAGGATATTCATGTTGCTCATGTTGATATGCAGTAAAATGTTTTACAGTAGCTGGCTTAGCATTTAACAATTTTTTTTTGAGTGGGTCAGAAACTTTCGAAAAACCTATTTATGGGCGGAAAATTTCAAACCACTTCTCATACGAAGAACCTCCGTACAATCCCCAGAGGCGATTGTGGTTTCAAAATATACGACAAACTATGTTCTTTAGTTTCTTAGTCTAGTGAGAAATACCCCAAAAAACCAATGCAGGTGCAATTCGTTTCTTATCTCGATGAGCCGTCCATGTAAGTAATGACAGAAATATCATTCAACTCTCAGCACCAGACCATATTCTACTTGGAAATGGAATGTTGCCCTGCGACCGATAAGAAGCATGCCGCGCTCACGGCAAGAACGCATGGCACACACTTCTTCGAGGGAGAATCGATGAGAAATTGATGAGAGATTGAGAGTGTTTTCGACTTTCGCAACATTTGGACTCTATACGTTGACGGATTTCCGTTTACGTCCTCGACAACGGGATTAATGAGTGTTACAAGAATCGGTTAGCTCACCTCTCCGGTATCGAGGAGGATGGGCTTCGGTGCATGGCATGCAACCTGCTCGGGAGTCGGATCTTGAATAAAATCGGCCACGAAGTCCCAAAATGGATTGGTGTCTGTTTCTCCTTGTGTGAAGTCGAACATTCCGGGTCCATCCGTCGTGCCAGCCGCGAAGCTGTATCCCATCGCGGGCTTACACGTCCTCCCCTGAGGGGAGCAGAGGCAGTCTACATCCAGATCCACATACACATCCACTGTGCGGTGTACCCTTTTGCTTTGGTGATCTGGACTCTTACCTGACGCATGTGACCGAAAATATCCCGGCGCTCCACGACGACGTTTGTCATGTCCACGAATTGATGCACGTACTTCACCGTTCCCGTCAGAAGTCGTAGATTTGCTACGTCTTCGAAAAGTTCCTGAGGTGTTTTATACAAAATTGAACGTGAAGATCGTGCTGTTTCGATATTTTCACATGTTTCTCTTCCGATCGCACGCGTAGAAAGGAAATTTAACAACTCGTAGACAACATGAAAGTGTAGGTAAGCGAATAGTACCTGCTAGCTTTTAACAAATATGCAAACTAACTGCACACTACAGGTATACTTTTAGAGTACCTTGGATCAGAAGAATGCTCCTGCAGCTGCAATTAGTAGCAAGTTATTACAAGATGTTGTGTCCAAGGTGAATTTTAAAATTAATTTTTATCGTCTTGAACATTAAAGAACAGACGTTTTGAATTATAGAAAATCGCAGTCCATTAGGAAACGAATTCCCATACGTTCCATCGGGAGAGGATTTTGCAATCCACGATGTCGATTACTTGCATTTTTGCTGTAACATGCTAATTCGCTTTTTCGGGTGTTTCTTCACCCGAAAGCGAGAGTCCACCATAATCCACGCCGAGAGAAGAATCCTACCATAGCTTTGTTGGCCTGGCGCTCTCCGATGATCCAGGTGGACTCTTCCATATTGTCACCGGGCCCGAACGCGATGCAGTTGCCGACGGTCCCTCCACAGGCAGAAGTGACGGGATCGCACGGTTCCCCGGTGTCGATGCACCTTGGACCCTTGATGTTGGGGCTCACGTCTCCTAAGTTGGATGCTGCGAAACCGGCCACAAATGATCCCTGAATCGAGAAAGGTAAAGTAAATCAATGTAATAATGTCCATATTCACTCAAATGGCAGAATGTCTTGGACCCATAGTAATAACTGATCTATCGGGTAATCAAATTCTAAAAGTATGCCTGGTCCAATCCTGACAATCAGCATAGACGTTGGCAGTGCCGTCATGTTTGAATGAGTTTTTGAACTCCTTTGCTCGACAGCGCATTCTTACCTTGCCAGGCAGTGCACCCGGATTGAAGGCAGCCTCCACGATCATGGATGCAACTCCTTTGTTGTCACCCGAAAGGAGCTTGTTGGTGTTGTTCATGGAAGTAGCATGGACGGGGAACCAGGTGAACATGGCCAACGGATCGCCAGCAAGCGACTGGAACTTCAGCAGCTGCAGTATCTTGTCCACGTCGTATTCGTACCTGGTAAGTCACGAGAGTGTTCAAGAGAACTTTTTTCTCACCCTGGATCTGCGTTTGTTTTTTCCTGTTCTCGAGAAGTAGAAAGGTAGGATAGAGTGACAATGCTTGTTGTATTCTACTTTGTTTTGGCTAGGAGATGCAACTTCATTTTCATGTCCCTGGCTCATTAATATTCTTACCTGCAAGACATACTTGCACTTCACATACGCTATGCATTTTGCATTTATTATACCTGCACAGAAACACACTATCCTACCGCACCACGCTTTCCTTTACACGCTGAAGTTCACTTATACTTTATAAGTGCATAAAGGCATGGGATATAACCCATCTATTAGCTGGGGACCGTAGAGTGAAAAGTTCCTTCATCTAGTAATAGGAGGTTTTATATTCTTCTCCATTAGCATGTGGAAAGACGAGGATAGAAAAACTTGAATGTTGAAAATGGAAGTCGATGTACATAGTCTGCCTTGATTTGCTTAAATGACAGCATTCCGGAAACGACTACGTAAAGTTTCGGACAGATCATTTTCCTGTCCTGCAAAAATTCACTAAGTATTCACTGAATATTCGCTCATTCGTTCCCTCACTCACTGAACGCGTTCCTCTGGAGGGTTGTTGAGGTACGAAATTGGGCTTCGATTGACGTTGGCCTCCAACAGTTCTCCTTCGTTGTAGTAGACGTTACCGGGCTGCAGGTTTCCGTGAGCGGCCCTTATGCTCTGAAAGTGGGAAGCAAGGGGCGCTGTGTAGCGGAATGTCTTTGTGCTTTAAGTGAGACTATATTCTTGCCGGTCGAGATCTTTTAATACCGGTGGGTTTTTCTGAGTCATACCGTGGACACACTCGATTTTTAATGGGGGCTTGGTGCGTTGAACAGAGATTTATCGTTCGCGGTCCCTCCAGGACCTAAGCCATGATGATACTTCTGTGTTCTCTTGGGGAATTGGCTAATATTAAAGTAATCATGGTGTTGTTTAGCGGATACTGGCAAGTTTATGTTCGATGGAACAGATGGGATTCTTTCAAATGACCGGAGATCGGTTCAAACTGACTCTTATCACTTTCAAAGTGAAATGAATGAAACTTGTTTTTTTTTTGTTTCCCAAGAAAGGACGCGATGACCGACACATACAACAATGCAATTATTACGATAGAGAGAAAGAAGACGCCTACTTGGTACAAGCTTCACGATCAAGATCACGGTCCCTTAGGCAGAGACACCATTTACGAATCTGGAAGAAGCCATAGGGGCGACTCACACCGACAGGTGGGTCACCCGTCGGCGAAGAAAGCGGCCGTCGCCACCAGGACTCGCCCTGCCTACAAGGTTTCGTTCGGAACCTGGTTGGAACGGGTAAAACTTGCCTCGAGGCAAATGGGACCCTTGTCTTTCCCATGCAGCGCCCTGGGTTCATTGCGCAGAATCTCTGCAGATGTGAAAAGGGACTGCTAATCGCAAACATAGAAATTTCAAGAATGATGCGGGAGAAATGATGAGAATGGAGGTTTTCTCTGCGAAGTCCGTTTCATTTGGCTTCAAATGCTGAAGCTAGTTTCTCTCAGGCACGATTTGGTTGTTCGTGACGGACGGGGCAGGCTGACATTCTCGTGTGCATTAATATCTGCACTCCGGTTTTTGCTACTCTCATTTCCGAGTGTTTGAATTAGAAAGGTGGGGTTTCGAGAAGAAGGGTGAAGTGAAGTGGTTCCGAAGTGGTGGGAGTTTCAGTTTCCGAAGTTTTTCTCCTCTAACCAAAATGAAGTCGTGGGTGAAGTTATCATATTCTCCCGTGAGATGCAAATTGGATCTGCGACGATACGGCCTGGAATTGCGTTCTGGCTTATATAAACGTTGCCTCGTACGGTGAGGTTAATGTCGGGTGAGGTTGTAAATGTGACTCAGTTGGCGCAAGACAATACGCTTCCCTGTCGGAATCGTCCTTTTGTTCTCAGCAATATTGCTACTCTGTGAAGCCTGCATGCAGGGCTTCAATTCGTAAGCCTCGCCAATCTAAGCAGTTTTCTCGCTGTTATACTACGTATGCAGTATAAGGTAACCTTGGTAAGATGTAAGCATGCGAAATTATTGAAAATTGTATCCAATCGTCACCTTGTTTTTCAATTGTTTTTCATCACCGCTGACACCCATTTCTGAGTGGGGATAACACTCCAGTTTTTGGTCGCGCTGATAGTTCTTCCCATAGTTTGTGGACACCCTGTGCGCACACCGGGAAGCACTATTAATAGGTCCTCGTACTAGAAGATCTTGATAGAATACTTGAAAACGACCAAATTAACTGATTATGCTGGATTTAAGCCTCACTGGCGAACAATGGAGACCGGCCAGAAACCGGAGTGCTTACCTTATTCCCTTCGAGTATCCTGTAGCAAAGGAGTCGGTAAAACAGTTTTAAAATTTGATTTCTAAGTGAGAATCATATGCAACTTATGTGCAACAATCTCATTTCTGTTACTGTTCCCTTACAAATAGCGGCAACAGCTGGAATGACGCAGGAAATTATTTTTAAAAAATCGTAGACAATGAAGAATTGATGACGATAATGGTTACATGCCAGCAGACGATGGCGAAAGAGAGTGATGAACAAAGGATGAGACGCGTTGCCCTCAAAAGAGTGTGACAGTAATGCAAGCCAAAATGGACTTTGGACGTAAAAATTATTTTTTCTTTACGTGAATACGATGGGAATTGTTCTAATACTAATGTGTGAGACAATTGCAAACAGTAAAGCTAAATGAATATCGGTTGGTAATGAGGAAAGAAAGGAAGAGCACATTCATTCCCCTTAACTGCTACCATACAAATATGCTTTCCCTGGATAAGGATTCAAAGTATACTACGGTTGCCCAGCCTATGGCCTAGAATGGCATAGCCTCTTAGGCTGAACGCTCGAGGGCTCCATAGACTATGAAATTAATTGAACACTATTTAGGAATGGAGAAGCCATTAGCGGTAATATGTATCTTTACGAAATGTCAAGGTTTTCAAAGTGATTTCAAATGTCAACGACCCACGAACTAGATTCAGACCGCACAACAAATAAGGGTGAGTGTAGAGTGTGCGATGGTTGACAAATGGGCGTGCTGGCACTTAGAGGCGCATGCTCACCTGTATGAGTTCAGTCACGCCCTATGAGACTCTCATAGCGTCCTAAACACGTTGCGTTCCTGCATTCCTGATTGAGTGCAAACCGTCCAGTGGAAGTAGATGGATTATGCAAAAATGTTAGGATGCTTAAGATGCCCAGTGTCTTTCCCTATTGCAGGGGTATCAAACATAAGGCCCGCGGAGGTGGTTCATCCGGCCCGCCGTATGTTATTGAAATTTCCGCTTGGATCTATAAGGTCAGAGCGACGGATCGACGGGGTTAAATGTCCAGTACGGTTACACAATTCATCAAAGACTAGGGGAACTGGGGACACTTTTTCCTATCGCTATTGTTAGAGGGCAGGGGACTTCCCATCGACGTATACTTTGTGTTATGCCACACAAGGAAGTCTTCCCTAAGGCAACAACATCGAAGCAGAGCTGAATGATCTATTTGGGGACTGCACTACGGCTATGTCTACAGTTAGTTCACCATGGGTCAATGAGACCCAAAACAGGTAGAGCGAGGAGCAACTGCCTCTTCTTCGTGTCTGCAATAGCCTTGCGTTTCTAGCAGCAGTGGCGAAACAGTACCATTTTCCGTGTTTCAATTGCGGACTGTCTACATTCTGTGTCCTTGTCCCCGACGATCGAAAACCCACATTGACGATGCCATCCACATTAGCGTTGTAAGTTTCTTCCGAGAACCCCAGGCTCGTGATCTGGAAGAGGAGGTACTGGAGAAAGCCGGCCGGTCCGGAGTGCGTGTGGGTCCCGGAAAGGATCACATTTTCCTGGTGATATATTCCGCCGAATTCTTCCTGGAGTCTCCTCACCACCTGCAACAGCCGACCTCATCAACTTTTACCGTTTGTTGCTAGTCACGGTATGGGGTCTCGAACGAAATGTAGTCTGAGAGAGCGGCGAAAAATTAGCTCGGGTCTAGAAATCCGAAACCTTTAGTACAGAACAAGGAAAGAATCGCTTGGGATCTTTGGAAGCGAAAGAAGATGACTTCGTTTCGTTAGAATGTCTTGAGGAAGGGGGTTTGGAAAGGAAAATACGTGGACGAACTTTTTGTAGTAGTACGCCTTTTGTCGGCCGAAAGACGCTCAACCTCATGAAATACTCTTTCATTCTAAATTTAGGACAATAAATATTGTCCATCGAACAGTTTCTTCGGAGAAAAAATGAGCTCGATAACTTAACCTTTAACAAGTCCAGTGATTATATCTTAGCACTTTAAATATGGAGGGAGGGGTGAGTAGTGTTACCGTAGAGTCCACTAAAGCGGGCATCCGTAGTCAAGGTAATAAGGCATATTGAAAATCGATAGGCGTAAAATGGCTGCAAAACGCATTAGGACAAAATGGAGTCATTCCCTGGAGGGAAATGATGGGTGGCTCGAAGAAAGGGAAGAAAGCAGATCTCCCTCCTGAAAATCCCCAATTTCCTTCTCACCCTACCGCTCAATACCTATACGTTTCCATATTTTAACTTCGCCGAAATAAGACCTTTTCGGAAGGAATTTGAGCAATTTCAGCTTGTTTTTCCCTACATGTTCCATCACGTGTGTGTTCCAAGTAACCAGACATAACTTTCATAGTTGTCGAATTACAACGGATGTGTGATAACTCGGATAGAGAGAAACATGAGGTTCCCCATTCCATTTCGGGATTGTGTTACGCTGAATATGGGACAAAGATTCCATGCACCCCCAGAGGAGTAATTTGAACTTAAAACTCATTATCATCAATAGACTTCATCGACCAGCAGAGTTTGCTACATTAGATTCACAGTTCGTCCAACGGGTATAAATTTTTTTTTTTTAACTACTAAACCTGTAAGATTTAGGCTCCTTCCTATGCACCCAATCCAGATATAATGAGTTGAACTTAAGGGGATGAGAATACTTAACAAGAGTGGGGGCAGAAGTGCCGACACAGGTAGTACGGGTACAGTCGCTAGTGCTTCTGTTCCGTGAGAGGTCCTAGCAGCGTCTACTACTTACAGGACCGTTTGACGGAGTACACCTAACCAGCTCCTGTCTGACTCGGGTTGGCGTACCCCATCTGCTCTATTCCAAAGCGTCCACGGGTGACACTCCAATATTTTCATTATTCCGTGATGTCTTTGATATTTCTTTGCAGAAATTTGTATTATTATAGGAAGGTGTTACTATCCAGTGCCATTGTTCTATGTTATATTGATGAAAGAAACTAAATCCAAGAAGAAATTTCACGTAAAATTCTGAGACTTGCGAAAATTTATTTCATACTACCGCTAATGCTTGTTGAATGTGACTCGAGGGAGGCTAAGGAAGAGTGCATCTGAGATTGGAACAAAATAAAGAAATGGCTTTCAAGAAAAAAGGTCGAGAGCGAATCTGACCAAGCCGATTCCAGCAGCAGGCCCGGTGCAGTCAGCGATGCCGACGCCGATCCAGAAGAGTCCGTCTTCGTCGCATCTCGCCGGGGTGGAAAGGAGGAGGAGGAATGTTCCAACCACGAATTTCAAACATTCCATCGTTGCTCCCTGGAGTGTCCGTACAGTAAGGCGACTGAGTCAAAACGGAGCAGCACTTGCTATTTTCAGTCGGGACCCCATGTGATGATTTTCTCAAGGATCTTGCGCTACGATCACGTGTGTGGGAAGATGCATGCGGGCAATAGGAGAAGCGCAGATAGCAAAAAAAAGAGAAAAAAATAATGTTGGCATTGATGGCGAACTGATCCGGCTCGCATTTCCTTGCATCGTAAATTCAACAGCTAAAATCTATCCCTATCTTAGGAGGCTGAATCACTTCGAAGGAATGGGATGCCACTGGGGAGTTGCTCTCTTATGTTTTCGCAAATCAAGGTGTCTTTTCCCTTTGATTTTGGATATGTTGTTCTGTGCAGCATAGGTCAGAGGATCGCTTTTCTTCACCTTACTTATTTTAAACACTTCATGCTAGGGCGTCCAGGATGAATTTTCTCTAAAAAGAAAACATGGAATGAATTAGTCGCAACTTTCTGTTTTTTTCCAACGATGGACGATATCTGCGGCCCCCATGAGAGATGAGACATGAGTTGGCGATAATGGATGCGTTGGGAAGCAGAAATTGGTTGGGAACAGGTCTACTGGACTAGGCTAACATTGAGTCATATGTGAGTGGGTATTCCCCATCTCTTTATCTCCACTGCCATGACAGCCAACTTGCGTGGCATCGAGTTTAATGGTTCCCGGTCAATTCCCCGAAAGGACAGTTCCCCGAATGACAAATTCCACGAACTGTCAGTTCCCCGTTTGGGATTTCCCCAAAGGAAATGGATTTGTTTCCATATAAGTTTCCTGTCTCGCACATCATGCATGTGGGAGTGAGGGGTGGGGGGGAGATGCGGCCACCACCCAACCGAGCCGGAACCAAAGGGAGGGGGGTATAGGCAAACGGAAGGAATGGGGAAAGTCGCTAATCTTCTCTAATCCTAGAAGAGAGGAAATCATTAAATTCTTCTCCTCCCACCTAAGAAAACTTTGTTCATTTAGGGGACATGACTGCCAATACAATGCTAGTCAGATCATTGATAAAGATTCTCAAGAGAAAGAGACAAAGATTAAAAAGGCGACAGAAACGTTGGTAAAGTAATCCTCTGAGCTTCCAGAGATGAGACGATCGACAAGATGTCTATCAAAATCTAAAACGGAGAAGTTGGGTGGCTGAGGGAAGAGCGAAAAGGGCAAGAATCTTCTTCTTCTTAAGGGCTATCTGCTCACACAGAACAAGATGAGCAAGGACGGACGAAGAACGTATTGGGAGTGCCTCTCTAGAAGATACAAAAGAAACTGCAATTTCAGAGCTACAACTGAAGGAAACAAGGTTGTCAGCAGGCTTGTAATTTTCCAGGTTCCAGCAGAACCTGGAAAATTACAAGCCCGCAAGGTTATTGCAAACATCGTGAATGATGTATTGAATACATCTTCAGAGACAAAAAAAGGCGTAAACTATAAATCGACCCCTAGACATGAAGGAGATGGATGCGGTCGATAACCCTCCTTCCGCGACCGTGAGATCGGAAAACCGTGATCGGGGAACTGTCCTGTCGGGGAATTGACCGACCACCTAGTTTAATAGCATATTATCGAAATCGCGGATGACTTTCAGAACACTTCTTATAGTATTCTGATCTAAGGTTCAACTAGCTTCCAAGATGTTTCAGGATGTATCGTAATCCTCTAAGACCTGGGACCATACCAATGGACATTGCATTTTGATTGTATCTATGGTAATATCCTGGAATTCTCTTGACTTTTCACCCATTAATACTCCATAATGGGCGCAATTATACATGGCTAAATTCCATCGGACGCCATCTTTCACCCGTCAGTTTTGAAATCTTCAATTCTTTAATTAAATGTATATTATATGGTATGATATGACGAATTTATTCAAAATATTAAATGATATATATCGGACATTGTTTATTGGTTTCTTCTCTCCACTCATTCAAGTCGGCGTTCAAACATTTTTTTTCCGAATTTCGAAAAATGTCCATGAAACTTTGTAAAGCCCAAATTATTTTTTAAACATGTGTGACTGCAGTCATTATTGGGAAGAAAATAGCTCATAAGAACTTTTCATTCTTATGCAACTCTAAGCTGTATGAAACTATGATTTGGAACACACATGATTCTATAAAATATCAAGTAATCACTGAGGATAACCCAAATGGAGTTTCAATCTATGCTCACTCTGAAACGACAGGGCAATGGGGTCGTCTTTTAAATTTTATTTTGAGAGTGTGAAGGCTAAGATGTTAAGAAAACCTGCTTCCAAAGATTTGAGGAGATGTGGCGACAGCAGGATCATACCTCCCCCCCCCCCAACCCCTCTCCCCGAGTACGTGGGGGCCTTTCAAGGAGACATCCTTTCTACAAAAGTAATATATAGCATTTTAGAGTGAGACGCGTTCCCATCTCTTACAAAAAAAGGTGTACCATGGGTGAAAATGGAATTGCTTTAACATAGGCTAACCTATATTAGAGCATACAAAGGCCATTTACATGTACCATTTTAACCTATGTTCACCTATAGGTTAACATATGGTACATTTTTGTGAGGGTTTCCGTTGAAGACGCATCATTTCTTGCCATAAAAAAAATAAATTGGTTTCTGGTGAAAACCTGTAGAGATTTTACGGGTTTTCCTGTGTACTCCAATGTCCATCGTCACGGTATTCAGAAACCATTCTGGAGCTCTGTCCGGTTGGTGAGTGATCCTTTCATATCGGTGCCGAAGTCTCTTGGTCAGATGTTATTCTGCCTATTCACATTGGATGAAATGAGACAGGGACAGTGATCTGCGTTCGGCATTCATTTCACCTTTTGAAACACTGAGGGAGTCTGTCCCCAGGCGTCCTCATCGAGAGGTATGAGGAACTCTCGATACACCAATCGTAGGCGTCAGTAACCTCATGAACCGAAGCCTGAGACTCTCTTGAACGAGATGAAATTAGCCTAGACCTCAGATGAAGACCCGTACGCCTCGGCTCATTCAATTCCGATCTCTATACTGTCTTGAGCTAAATGAGCAAACACAACTCATTTGACTTAGAATCTTCATTGAGGATTTTGAGGCTATTAATTATTCTCTACGGTAAGGCATGAACCATTAGAAAAGCTTTTAAAAATGAGGTTTAGTATCATTATTACTACATGAAGCTGTGAATAAATTTCTCATGGTGCGTTCGGAAATGAAAATTCAGATTTAGAGAACTTATTTCATTCATTCAAGAGAATTCGTTGGGGATTTGCTCAGAATTCGCTTGTATTCAATACTTTGGCTTTCTGAGGTCGTTGAAGTTCTCTTCTAGACCCATATGCTGCTGATTGGTATGATGTTGAGCTTAGAATTCTTGGTTCTTCATAATTGTTACTTCAACAAGACATCCGAGGGAAACAAGCTGCTGTTTTAGGGGGCCAATTCTATGTGGATAGCATCTTCGGAAACCTTGATGAAAACTTCAAATTCATTTTGTGCGATTGCATTTTATTTGTGGTAACATTGGCATCGATTTCACAATTCGCTCAGCGCAGCAGAACTCGGGATTAAACGTCTCAGACGACTTGGAACTGCGGGCATTCTCCTTCGAAAGAAGTGATGGCCTTGAAGATGTCTTTCTGCTCCCCAAAGTGTCGAATCTTGTAGGTGCCAGGTGTGGCATCGGCGGGGACGTGCCACGTNTTCTGCTCCCCAAAGTGTCGAATCTTGTAGGTGCCAGGTGTGGCATCGGCGGGGACGTGCCACGTGATGTGGGCCACGCTTTCACCCAAAAAGAAATTCGTATTCTCCCACTCGTACCTGTAGAAAGTAAATAAGGAAATAATGGCAGACGATGTGCTTCAGGGGAAAACACCATCAAGATGTAAGGTTACGCCAAAATAAATGAAATAACCATGGGTTTGGGATCACCTTGGATGACGCACCTGCACAGTATTCTTTGGCAATTGACTTTTTTGCCACCAAAATAACGCCATGTTTCAGTGCAGCAGTTATGTTTTCACCATTCCCAACTTTCGAAATTGCTAACGTATCAAATTTTATTTGCAGTATGATAAGTATTGCATGCGCCAAGTAAGAAAACCCAAGCGATAGACGCTGAGGCTGGTGAACCTATTGCCGATATCATCTTATGACATCATTGGAGATACATCATTCAATAAGAAAAAGTTGATGGGATTTTAGCGTAACGGCTCATGTGGAACGAAAGACTTAAAAAGATAGCTGTGTTGACGTGAAAGCCTTTGATACGACAACCCAGAATAGCGCGGGGATTCGAATGCTAGCTGCTTTTCGAGTTTCTGGGGTCCCTGGAGGAAAGATTAACGACTGGGGATATCATGCGGGTATGGAAGCGCGATCCATGTCCTAAGGTTTTACAGTGGTATGGTAGAAGTGTGTGTAGGACGAAACGGCCCCGGACATAATACCCCAGACATAATGTAGGGCAATAGCAATGTAGGACTTAATGGCCCCACACACCAGAAAACCAGCTTCTTTGAATAAGGATTAATTTTTCCCTCGCATATGTTGATGTTCTGTTCAAATTCTGTCGAATGTATAATTGTAAACTTCAAACTTGCTTGAATCATTACATGAAATTACTAATCTATTAAAATAATTATAAATCATAAAAAAATAATGCTACGTATGCAATATTTTTCAAGTACAACAAATACTAAAATCGGATGGCATGACCAACTCCATGCAGGATCTCCTCCAAGGATTTAAATCTCTCTCCATACCGTGTGCAAAGTGTTCTCAGCCTCTGCCGCATTACCTTGCATACCCGCTTCTGCCTCTTCTGGGGGGATTCACTGCAGTTTCTTGCAAAATTGTGCTGTTTGACCGTATTCAAACCAATAATACACACTCAAGAATGAATAAGTTATATTTCAGCAAGTAATGCTGCCACTTAGATATAACAGGATGATAAAATATAAAATACTTACCATGCACACAATCACCTATTCCACGTGAGAATAACATATCCTGTTTTCTGTACTCCGTAAACGTATGAATATTTGAATAAAGGGAAATTGCTCTTTTATACAAATGTACCTGCAGTAAAAGTGAAAGTCAGAAGATAGTCATCAATGAAAGCGGTTGGGTGCTGCTAGTACTGATTGGAGGATCAGAGGATTACAGGGTAAACAAGGTGGGATGATTGCCTTTTTGACTGGGAAGTGCTGATTGGATCAGAGGATTAAAGGCTAAATAGTGTGCGATGGGTCAAGTAAAACTACATGCGTTGAATAAATTGTGTTAATGACTTATAACTATTTTCATAGATGTTAATAATTTGATCAGCATATCAATATCTGAGAGGGAAAAATTAATCCTCATTCAAAGAAGCTGGATTTCTGGTATGTGGGGCCATTATGTCCTATATTGCATTTGGGACCATTATATCCGGGGCCGTTTTGTCCGCGGTCATTTTATCCGGTTCCCGTAGAAGTAGAAGGAGGGAGCATGAGAATGCATGGAACGACTGCGCTGAAAATTAAACCCTGTCTCGTTTTGTTCCTGAAGCGAGAGAGAGAAAAAAAAAGGACCGCCGCCATTGTCCCTGCAGAGTTGCCCTTTCCAAAAGAGTATGCCTAAATCATAAAGGAGTAAGTTGTCGGTAACTTTTGAGACACTCACTTGAATTTTTTTTTCAGAAAGTCACGTGATAGGGAAGTGGCAGATCGTTTTATCAAATGTTCAAAAGGAATTCCTTTCATGATTTAGCAATGATTTCGTCAGTAGAACATTGCAATACTGACATTTGCAATTGTTCGTGAAGGATTTTCACGTTTAACTGCGAAAATCTTGGATAGTTTGCGGTCTAGTCTGAAATACTGCATTAAAATGTCCTGATATTGAAACAAATAAAACGGGGACCGATCAAGGGGCCATTTCCGTAGGCTTTACTACTAAAACTGGAAACAAATTAAGAGAATAATATAAAATATAGAAGTAAGGAATAATATGAAAGAAAGGAAATTAACGGGCTTTAGCGTATATGTTGATTTTGTAGGTTGGTTGAATGAGAATTTGAAGTGTCTATCTGCCCTTCTTGTAATACATGTATATTGTGCCTAGGTATATGAGCCCAATCGTAGCGTACAATAGCCTTTCTCGTTGGAATTGCCGTTCACCATGCGACGTATTTGAATGCTGGTTATCTTCGTGCGACATACCCCATACCGGTAATGTGAAAATAAGAAAGAGATGATTTGTGAATGTGAACGCATGTCACGCCAATCGCTTACTTGGTTTCCCAGTTGGCATCGACTGCGACTCGCTCCCATTCGCCGGTGTCGAGAAGACGTTCCACGGCGAGGAAAGTGTCTCCGTGTCTCACGTTGTTTCGTGGGTGTCCCGTGATCTGAATTTGTTAAAACATTTCACGAATGGGCATAAAGTAACAAATTCAGGTGGTCCAAGAAAAACGAGGAAACTCAGATTGGCGGAGAATGCAAAATTGCGAGCGGTGGTGTGGCTCGTAAATAAACAGGGAAGTCCTTTCAGGTCATGTATACGTTGTTGAAGTTCGTTGGTCCATGGTAAAAATTACTGAGAAGGTTTGACGGCTTCGCCGTTTTTCACATGAGTCGATGAAAGATAATTTGGAAAGGTTCGTCTTAGCCACAAAATTGTAAGAATTGGGAAAACATTGCCTTATGTAAAGAGTAGCAATCGCTTATGTGGGGGAATATTTTTTGTCATGCACTCTAAAAACAAGCCGCAAATCTTGTCGTCTCCAAATGCTAGTCGTGACTCTATAATAAAATGTAGAAGTTACTTGTAATTATCTCCAAGTGTCCCATCGATATATAGGGTGGGCCAAAGAAAATCCGCCCTAAATTTAAAGTTTTATAACTTGGGCCCCATTGGGCCAATATCAATTTTAAAAATAGCAATATGAAGCTTGTTCAATTTTCTTTCGAATGATATATAATTTTTGCGGGGTTGCTTCAGAGAAATAGCTGCTATTACAGTTTTTTTTTAAGTGACGAAAAAAATTCTTGAAAATGGACTTTTACTCCACGTTCCATTTCCTTAACCTCGAATTTATCACTCACGCGCTCACATACCCTTTTAATGACCCAAAAAAGGTTCAATGCGCCCCCTCCACGATCTACAACAGCCTCATGCTACTCGCCCCATTAACGCATGATCTCTCGTCAACCAATCCGTATCACGCAGGGGCGCGTGGGAAAAGGGAGTGCTTGGGAGAAACAGGCGACAGCAGCAGCGCGGCACTGGAAATAACTTAGGAGAAATGTTCGTCACTTCTTTTTAAATTGTAATAGCGGCCATTTCTCTCCCGCAAACCCCCACAAAGTATACGAGGTACATCATTCGAAAGAAAATTAAACAAGTTTCATTTTTCTTTTTTAAAAATTGATATTGGCCCAACGGGGCCCATGTTATGAAGCTTCAAATTTGGGGCGGTTTTTTTGGCCCACCCTTTAGATACTGGCTGAACGGTTTTGACGTCCATAGTATTCAGTTCTTCGACCTCATCGTCTGACTAATTATGTCCTAATCATACGAAGACTATCCAACAAGCAACGATCTGACCGTTGAGTGCTTCGCATTATCTGCTAAGTTCGATTTTGTCGACGGTTCCCTTTCTTGGCCACCTGTTGTTCCATATGCCCTAATTGTCCTCGGGGAGAAAAACTTACGAAGTCGACACGGATGACGTCTCCACGGTTGACGGTGGCGGGAGGCGGCACGGTGCAATCTCCGAAATCGGTTCCACCCGGGGCAGTATCGAAGAGCACGGGTGGGATGAAGGTCAGCATTTCATCGAGCAAGTCTGGAGGCGTGGGCCCGGGAGGCACCGTGGCGCCCTGGCAATGTCAAATGGGATATAAGACAAGGCAAGAACCTCCGACCCCGCCAGTGGATTTTGCCCTTTGTGGTGAAATGCCTAAATGAGATCTTTATATGTCCTGAAAATGGTAATCAGATTGCACACGAAATACCTCGTTCAATCATGCACATGATATACTCGACGGTAATGAAGTTTTATTTTTCCAGTCCGACCAAGGCCTGTCGGTAATAAAGCGAATCATAAAGCTAGTCATACATCTCTATGGGTTGAATAGGAGATGCCGAGACGGTTGGAGTAAATAATTCAAGTTCAAATCCCTTCCACCTCGTTCTTAACCCACATGAAACAGATTCCTCACCGAGAAGGCAGCTTCCAATAGGTACGTGTATTGATTCAGGTACGCCTGAAGAGTATGGGGACCGAAAATCGTGGAAGCTGCTTCGTACCTCTGGACCTGCAACAATAAAAATAGTCCATTAATTTAAGCAGGCTTGCAAAATAATGCATTCAAATCCATTGTTTTAGTCCACATGAGACACCCCTTAATTCCATTGATTTTATTCCCATAGAATTCCATGTAGAAAATATTTATTAAAAAAATAATTATATCCGATCTATGGCATGTCGTCCGCTAGGTAGACCGGCTGGCAACCAAAAACTGCAGGTAAATCAAGTTAGAACATCTCTGACCAGATACTCTTCGTATGTCGTGATGTAATCCGAGTAGGTATTGGATAACCCTGCGATGACGACGGTCGGATTCTCGGCCCCGTGCGATTCGAGGACTTGAGTCATGGCGTTCCGTAGCCTCCTTCCGGCCATGGTGGTGAATTCTCCCGGGACGGCCGCGATCGCCAAGTCTCCGATCAAACCGATCTGAGTGTCCACGATCTCGGGCTGCCAGAGGTATGGCCATCCGATCTGAGGGAGGAAATATTTTCCATGAAATTTCATTGCCTTCAAGGAAGTAGCATCTCGTTTCTTAACACCCTTTGCGATCAGCATCCCGATTATGTTTAGATCGAGGTGTGATGACGAATACTCCTGGTGCTTTCCCAACACTACTGTCAGAGAAAGAAAATCACGAAATGTCCAAGAAACTCCCTTCATGAAATTGAAAAGTGATTTCTTGCTATCAGATGCTAAAACCAGGGCCTTAAATTGCACCCAAAGCCAATATAGCGTGCTCCACGTTGAAAACAGTTGAGGCGCCTCCGACTCACCCGCAAGAGGCGGCTCGCTCCTACAACATTCATCAGCTATCATTATATATGACACCATTCATGATGATGAATGATTGTCATTGATGTCAAATGGTCTCTTGAGATTATGTCAAATTTATCTCAATAAGGGAATTTTCAATCTTGCTAATTGAATATCAATTCCAATCGTGCCACCACTCCGAATAGCGCGGGAGGAAAGCCGGGACACACAGAAACGCAGAAAGAAGCGCGCACGATCCAAAGGCAATAGTATGCGTACCTCTGTCTTTTTTGACTCACAATCGTGAGGCAGGAAGCGATTCATTCAATCGATTATGGCTAGTGTCTGTGACACTCCGTGTCGCAAATCTCAAATGGCAAATAGCGCAACAGCTGAAAGCCAAGCGGCACTGTTCCCATTAGGCGGTTCACGAGTTTCCTTTGTTGTTAAGTATCACTCTACCACCTTCAACTTCAATCCATGTGATTTACATTATAGGGTAGGTGAGACAAATTCCGACCCTGCCATGAAATCCGTCCCCTGCACCACATAATTCTACTTAACAAGAAACCCAATAAGCCCTTTCCAACCAAATTACATCAATATGCTCCCAAGTACGTCCCCCGTGCCAGGAACATAATCTCGCCATCAGTGACAGAAATAGCATTAGCATGTCAATGTCATTAGCATGAATGCACTCGGGTTAATGTGAAATTCCTTATAAAATGTTTAAGGTATTCTAGGAGGTTTTGATGAATGCGCCAGATATTATCATAGTTAAGAAATGCATAACTCACTTTTCTGAGTTTGAGATAAGACCAGTCAGGGTATTTGGAGCTCAAACTCTGAAAATTTTATTCGATTATCAA